TCGTTTTTACATACCTTCCTTGCAACAGAGGTTTGGGCCTGAAATAGAGCGAAGTGTAACATCGTTCAGTAGTAAAGAAAAATGTTGTAACTAAAGCAATTGCACCCTCACAATACCAATAAAGGTACATACTATCCGGTACAACCGAAATGACAAAAGTTATTCATGTTATTTTCCGGCGAAAAGACAAAATTCACGCGCGTTTTCCCATAGGAATACACAGGGAGGCTGGAAATCTAGACTGCGTGCTGTCTGCTTCAATCTGCAACCGGAAGTTCCATAGATACTAGCGCCAGCTGACCCTCTAGCGTTCTCTATGCTTCCAGCCTCCGTGCACATATTTCGGTTTCAATTTCAAAAAATTTTTTTGTTTGCTAAAAATATATTTGAATTTGTAGCAAAATACTAATCGGTCAGTCTCCTCGCACCACACTAAATCGCAACACACACACACACAAAAAAAATTATTTTTGGGTGTTGTGTTGCTTCAACCACAAAGCATCGACTGTGAGGGAAAGAGAATTCTTGGAATTTATAGCAGAGTACGAAAGAAAAACAAAATAACGAAGTACAGGACGTGTATGGCAGAACAAACGCATGATGTTATCATAATCTAAACCCTGAGACACGGAGGAAATAAAATGACAAGATGGCACAAATTTATTGTCTTGTTTATTATTCTATTGTCTCAGTGCCTCAGGGTTTAGATTATGACGTTCCCTAACTAGCTCGCCTGCACACTTTCATTTCCTGCATGGTGAAGAGCTCCGCAAATATGCAAGAAACCACTACAATCCCAGGTGAAAATGTCGTACTGGGACCAGTTGAAATCCTAACTGGGAGTCCCTGGTCCTAACTGGTCTCAAATGGGAATAAACTTGTGCCAACTGAAATTCATCAGGGACCGATCGGAGTTCAACTTGAACCAGCTAAGCGGCCAACTGGTTGGAAGATTCCGTCAGGGTATGAGTTGCCTCAGCATTCCGAACCAGGATGCGCACGTGACGTCATCACATCCTACTAATTAGTGCTCAGTCATACTTGTTCAGTTGCGGATTCAAAGGGGCGGGGAGAAGGGAGAAAGGGTGTTTTTTCAAACATCCAATGCGCCCTACCCCCTTATGGATACACCTGCATCAATAGGCGGTATTGCCTGCATCCGGTTCTAAAGAAAAAAAAGGGGGGATCGGTGGCCGAGTGGTCTAGCGCACACCAGCTCGGAGCACGTGGAGCGAAAGCTCGCGCTGCAGAACCCGGGGATCCTGGGTTCGAGCCCCACCCCTGCCCGTTTCGATCTGGATGAGCATCGTACCGGCGTGCGGTCGTGGATCACTACTGCGTGATGCACGTTAAAGACCCCAGGCTAGCGGCTGTACCGCACTGGCTAAATTTCTCATCTACAGCTGGGAGACTCGTCGCCCCTGTGAGGCAGACCAAGTTCTAGGCTGTATAAACACACACACAACCCAATTTTTTTTCTAAAGAAAAAAAATCGGTGGCGCGAAATACATATGCTGCAAAGGCACACGCGTAACTGCATGGTCCCTCACAATGGCCGCTGATGTTACGTCAGTGCAAAGTGTCACCCTCGGCAATATTGGGAGGCCCACTATAGGAAGTATTCACTGAACGCCATATTTGAGGGCGATGTTTGGAGCGCATGCTCACAACAAGCTCACATTAATAGGATGCATGCTGAGACCAGCAATCTTGATGGTGCGGAATGCACGTTGCAAAAGAACTGTGGAAGCTGGCCGTCAGCACGCGCTCAGCAGTCGCGCACACAGATATGGCCGCCAGTAAATACTCCCTATAGGGAGTATTAATATGCGGCCATATCCGTGTGCGCGAATTCTGAGCGCGTGCTGATGGCGAGCTTCCACAGTTATTTTGCAACGTGCATTCCGCACCATCGAGAGTACCGGTCTTAGCAGGGTTTTGATGCGAGCTCGTTCTGAGCATGTGCTCTAAACAGCACCCACAAATATGTCGTCCAATGAATACTTCCTATTGGCGACGTGGGTGATCGAAAGCGTCGCTGTGGTCGGCCCACCACAATTGGCCGAATGCCGACCATGACGTCAGCAAAGGATGTCTCCTCGACGGAAATAAGAGGAATGTAAGAACTCCGATTTTGGCGGTGTTGTTTGAGAGCGCTATGATTTCAGGCTTCCACCATGCCCATTACGAACACCATCGAACTTGTTCACAAGGTAATGACGTCACGAAAGGTAACCGAACGAGGGCGCCACTGAGACATCTCTTCGCTGAGAACGACAGGGCGTCTCTTTCGAACGTCTAGCCTCCAGCGCACGTGCTGTTGCCTTCTTTGATGCTTTGACTGCCCGTGCGCGCTTGAGGCTCACGAGACACCTAAGCGTTATCGAACATAGGACCGAAGCTCGCCCTGGAGGCGGGGCAACTGAAAGACCTTTCTGCCATCATGCAAAGCGTTGAAGTACAGCCTAGTCCAACCGTGTGTTCCGCGAATTACAATGCCCGCAACAAGAGGCCGAAAGCGCCGACTTGTCTTATATCTGTACCCAAATTAAAGGTGGCCGATTATGTCACTCCGTGTTTCCGAGGGCCAAGAATCTTAAAGGGGTGGTGCAACGATTTTCGGACTTTGACCAATTAACTGAGGAAATTAATCTGCGTCACCTACGGAACGAAGAACAGAAAACCGTATTTAATTGCGAGCGCTAGTTTTTATTTAAAAAAAAAAAAAAGAAAAGAAACAAATCGAAGGTCAAAGTGCCTCTCAACTCTCCACGTCGCCTTTCGGGTAACATACTTTGGGGGATCTCGTGGTTTTCCCTTAGGTTCTCTCTTTTGAGACTTTTTGGCTACGTTTACATGGAGGCGACAGCAGCGCATCGGATCCAGTTAGCGAATCGGATCCCCTTCAACCACTACGTTTACATGGATTCGGATCGACCAGGAGCGGGACTTCGTGTCGAAGGATCACAACGCAAACCTCGTGACCATCAGATTGTTTCCGAGGTGTCCGGTTTGCCTAGCGGCATGCAAAGCAAAGCTCCCATAATCCCTCGCTCGAGCACTCGATCCGATCCGCTAGCGAATACATGGAAAGTCTCGATTCGGATTGACCGTCTCAAACCACCCCGTCCCAGCGGATCGGATCGGATCCGATCCCATCCGATCTGAGTTGTTTACATGGACCGATTCGATTCGTTAACTGGATCCGATGCGCTGCAGTCGCATCCATGTAAACGTAGCCTTTGTCCGCTTCCTCCGTGATTGTAGACTTCGAAAGGATTAGCACCATTGAAGGACACGGCGCGCGATCGATAGAAAAGACGGTTTGCCACGGAGCTGACGGCGAGTGTAGCAGCGGGGAGGGGGACAGGTTTTTGTTGACTTCCGCGTATCCCCCAGAGACGCTGTCATCATAGTTCTCGTAATCGCCACACGCGGCTGCAGATTGGCAAATAATTCGTTTTTTTCTTTGGGATTATGCAGCGGAATAGCAGTTTTTCGTCACTTGTGCTTGAATAAACAATATAAAAAACACAAACTGCCAATTCCTTCAACAATTAGGGATGCCGCGAATCTGCCCAGGTTCGAGTTCGACAAAGGTCGACTTTTTCGAACTTTCAATATGATATTCGACAAAGGTTCGATTGAAGTTCGACTTTTGTGCGCATGCGCGAAAATTAGAAAAGCCAGTTGACTCGCCCTGGCGGAGGAAAAGTGCACTATATGTTGCGTGTATTGGCATCAATGGTTGACATTACTAACGAAAGCATTAAAAGCGCATATTTTCGCTTTTATATGGTGCAACCACTGGTAACCATTTTATAAAATTTAAAATTAACTACTTTCTATATTATTCGTTTCTCAAAATTCGAAATAATCGTGTAGAAGCCGGGCAACACTGTCTATAAGTAGAAACTTCTTCGAACTTTAGCGAAAGGTCAAAGGTGGTTCGACGTCAAAATTGAGCTCCAACAAAAGTTCGCGACACTCCTAATTAAAATCGATGGAATCGGTCACTCTAACCCCTAAATGACATCGCACAGTATTGCATCTCCCAGACGAGAGAGGAATGGCACTTCTACATCTTCAGCCCCGAACTTCCTTTTGTGAAGCGGTCATCACGGTTTAGAGGTGTGTCACACATCCCTATTTTGCAGCTGGATTACAGAAGTGGTCTTAGCTGGATCCAGCAGGGTTGCCTCATTTGTAGATGCATGCAGGTGGACTAATTTTCACAACGGTATAGTAGATGAGATATCTATCTAGTATTCAGATTTGCCAGCAGCCACACTTCACAAGCTAAGTCTGGCTACCATTGGTTGAAGACTCTTTGTGGGTGCAACACTGTAATGACCATGGGCATACCTTCGGAACAGGGACGTAGCCAGGGGTACGGCTTATGGGGCTTCGCCTCCTCCCCTCCCCCCCGAAATCCGGCAGACTATATTATACACATGCCTTTGACCCCCCCCCCTCCCCCTCTCCACACTCCAAGTCATGGACATTCCAGTGACCTCAACCCCCCCCCCCCCCCCCCCCCAAAAAAAAAAGAAGAAAAAAAAAATTCCTGGCTATGCAAGCTGCTTTGCAAGGGTTGACTAGCAGACATTCTACACGCCAGCAGAAAGTTGACGGTGTAACAAGGCCAGTCTGACAAACATGAGCTATTCAAAATTTCTGATCTATAAGGTATCAAAAAAAAGGAAAAGCAATTTTCTCCAACTGCTCTGCTGGAAGAAGGCGGTGTGACAAACAAATTCCAAAAGGTTAATACCGCTCTTGCACAAAATTCCCCATAGCTAACACTGCAAGATAACCCTATAGGCTCGCCTTTTGGTATTTATTTAACCAGCGATATATTTCCATTCAGTAACAAAACTGAAACTGAATCCCAAAGCATATGTGACCAATAAGAGCAATTTTCACCCCAGAAGTTACCATCTTACCACGTTTGGAAATGTGTTCCTAAATACAAAGGCAATTCATAACCTTGGAAAACATAGTTTTGCAATTAACATTTTAATATAAGGCAATCTATGTATCACATGTAAAAAAAAAACATTCAAATTAAGAGAAAGCAAAAAACATACAGTTATCTATATGCATACTTTCAGAAGTGGTTAAATACAAAGAAAGTGCTGTGACCGTCTGAAAGGGAATACCCTCCCCTTCTGAATGCATAGACAACTGCACAAGTTTTGAGCTACTAACTGAATATGCATTCCTTCATTAGCAGCTACAAGTTAAACACAAAGTTATCGAACCATTACAACCTGTAGTCCACAAAGCTACACGTTAAACAACCAAGGTAAAGTAGAAGCTGTTGTGAGCTATACAGACAAGCTGTCTGATGCATAACATGCAGTAAAGTGATACAGAATAAAATGTGACTAGTAATCTCATAAAACAATAAGGAAACAAAAAAAACAGAAGCATCCTGGTGTATCATATGTTGGTACCAGCCAGCATTACCAGTATACACATTTCTAGACGATACAAACACCAAGCTTAGTTATATATAAACTGCAATCATCTATCCAAGGTATCAACTGATAAATTCAAAGTGAACTCTACTGCAAGCACCGTGACCACCACTGGCTTATCAAAGTTTGACAAGTTACCATCTAGGCACGTCTCTATTGGATATCATCAGCAGCATCCTTCAGCGTGTTTTCCTTCAGCAAAGAAATAAAGAGCCCATTGTAGTCTGAATTGATCGTCAGTACCCTCCTGAAATGCGACAGATGCTTTATGTTGGTTTTGCACATCCCCCCCCCCCCCCTTAATTTCCTTATCTTATGCAGGTTGGGAAGTGGGAAATGAACCATCGATTAGAAAGAATGACAACCTTAATCAGCTTAATTAGCCACACTAGACATCACAGCTGCTCATCAAACAAACAAAAAGCTTTGTTCCTTGCCAATAAAAGAAATCTGTGTGCCTTATCATACCCGATACACTTAGAGGTGCACAGAATCTGTTGCAAATGAGCTGGGCACATGTGTGTGTGCAATGTCGGGTAACATCGGGAGCTCGCGTGACTGACATTGCAAGACGTCCAATCGAAATCATGAAATCATGTCATGCGACACTGATATTACAGTCATGTGTCACTGTCACATGATGTCAAAGTGTCATGTGACCGTGACATCATGACATTACTACGAGCCCTAGGGGCTATGGCCCCCACAAGTGAGATGTCACGCTGGAATCTGACGCTGGAACCCAACGGTTCTCTCATAGGGAATGAGCCTATGAACACAATCCGCGTAAAAATCACTACCAGCAAGTAGGATAGCATAAAAAAGTCAAAACATCTTCCCCGTCTAGAAATGCCATAAAACGAGCCCTAGGAGCTTCCGGAAACGCTGGGCCGCTGAGGCACAGCGATTTGCCGCATTCTGCTCCCGTCTTCACATCCCCTGGTGCTGACCCCAAAAGCGCGTCATAGTAAGGAAGCGCATTTTCGACAGAGGTGGCGCAGGGAGAGGAATAAACCTGACAATTCTCAAAACTTTACACCTCAGCGACACATTTTTCTGCATTCACGGAAAGCTTAAGAAACGAAGGGCTTGGTGGGTCCCCAGTGCCTTGTTATTGCTCTGCAGCCAATGAGGTCGCAGCACCGGCCGATGAAAACGCCGGAGGACCAATCATGAGGCAGGAGGCTTGAACGTAACAAGCCCACGCCCCACGTTTCTCAAGCTGACAGTGACTGTAGTTGCCAGACTTTTGAAATGCATTAAAGCCAACGGTAAACACCTTTGCAAAACAAAAAAAGACAAGGCAACCAGCTTTCTTTTTTTTTTCGTTCTCCATGCAATGCCTTGCGACTGGTGCCAATACCTGTTCTGATAAAGTTTCACTGTAACCCTGCGTTTACAGAACTTGAAAAATGATCCAGACTCGTGTACAAAGGAAGAAATTGCTGTAACAAAACATTCTAAAATGTACACTCTAATACACAACCTTAGCACAACCTTAACAGGCACCCATTTACTAACAGAAATATAGATTGGTTTTGCACGATCAGGAATGCATATTTACTTGAGCCAGCCTAGCAAAACGTTTCTACACTTTGGTTCATCCTGAAATTTAAAGGAAACAAAGGGTGGCACCCGTTCTACAGTGTAGCTGTTGTACTCACAAATAGTGTGCGCGGCCGTTCGCAGAAGACTAAACAAGTTGACCAGGAATATCCCACTTACAGAAGCTTTGATATCATTGCAACGCAACTTAAAGAGTGGGAAAGAAACTGATATATAGCATGGCCACAGGACTGCTCGTACCATAGACTCCTTTCAGCAAGCTTAATAGCTATATGAATCAAACTAAACTAAACTCTGCATCTGTGACAGGAACATGTGCAACTTTTCTTCATTTATCTCACAACACAAAATAATTTGGGGTGATGATTTAGGTGTCAACAATTTTAGAGCGCAGCTCTTAGGTGCCCGTTTCCGGCTTGAGTGGCATCGGCGTCGCTGTTGGCGTAACCGCGCAGTGCATTTTGGGAAATTTCCCATAATGCACTGTGCGGGACCCTCGTGACGTCACGTGACCCTCGTGACGTCCCGAGTCCAGCGCATTGCATTATGGGACATTTCCCTTAGTGCACTGTGCAGGGAGGAGGAGGGGGAGGAGGACGGGGGGAGGAAAGGAGGGGTGGAGGGTGACGAGGAACAGGAGGGGAGGAGTAGCAGGGAAAATGAGGAGGTGAGGAGGAGGGAGGAGGGGCATAAGCTCCCCTCAGTACCCTTGCCTCCTCCTCCTCAAAAGCTGTGCTCTAATTCAGCATTCTAGGGAGTTGTAAACGTCTTTAATTTTTTCAGATTTAAACATTCTAATCTGCAATACCTGAGCTGATGACACTGCACAACCCCAGTGAGAGAACCCTGAAAACTCCTTTCCAACTTGCTTAAAGACATAGCAAGGAATAGGAAAGTACTGAAGTTACATTGTCCATTCACGTCGATGAATAGATGTACACTGATAGAATGAAACAGAAGAAAATAAATCATGAAGCCTTCCACACAGGGGAGTGGCATACAAAGTCCACAAACAACTGTGTTCACTCAAAGGGATGCAGTTGTACCGTCCATCCCGAGTGACAAAATTCTCCTAAAGTCTGTACATATCTTCCCTATTTGCCATTGGCCTGCAGCTCTTTGTTTGTTCAGCATAATAAAAATCACTACACCCGAGTGAATTACTTAGAATGTCATACTTGGTACATTTCATGAGGTAGGCACGTTCCAAGAGTAGAAAATTATGCACTAGTTATTGTGCTCTCGCATTTTGCGCCTTTTACTTGACCCAGCACCGATGCCACAATAAAAATTTGTGCACCCTTACTGCGATCTGGTTTCTTTTCACACGGACACGCATTGGGGAACCTAATCGTAGCAGCGCAGTGTCGCACTCCATAGCTACCATGTATTGCGTATAGTCAATAACAGTTCAAAGTCCCAAAAACAAAACACTAAAAATAAATTCTTACACAGTGGTTGGAGTCATGGCAAATTGTAATGGTATTTTTGGAGCACTAACCTTGCCAAGCAGGCTATCTGTGTGGAGACCGAAAGTGGTCAGTGTGCATTTCTTTCTCTCTCTGTTATCTTTTTTTCCCGAAGGTCATACACAACAAAGATTATGTGTTTTTATCAGCTGTCTCATCTGCCTGTCAGTTTTTCTGCCATTAGATCAAAACCGAGGAAGGGCCAGCAATCTGGTGGCTACAGATGAATTTGTGAAAAATACAGAAGATTTCAGCACCTTCTGTGGAAACGTTTCCACCCAAAAATGAATCCGGACAGCATTCCCTCGTCACAAGAGCTATGCTCTTGTGACAAGGGAAGGGCGAGGCAGAGGGGGTCAACTGAAGTGTGACAGTACAAAAAAAAAGAGAGACTACTCTACACCAAAGAAGACTGCAGGAAAATGCTGCTGATACCGGTCACAACTTGCCGACGAAAAAAAAAAAGAGTTTGTCTCTGGTTGCAAAGAGAAGGGAACTAGGAAAAAACTGCTCCTAGTTCACCCCATAACGACCACAGGAATTCACCGGTCGTTTGTTCCTAACAAGCTTACCCGCCATAAGAAAACAAGTCCCATCGGAAAAGCGCATTTTAAACGCGCCACGTTCTCGGCCAACAATTCCGACGGACGAAATCGCCTCTCCACGCCGTGCAATGGTGGCCAAAACGAGTCTCCAACCGGTGGCCCTGCATTGAAAGCGGTTCTGAAGTGGCAACAAACGACGTCACGCGAGCCGGCGTGTCATGCTCTCGGACACTGCAATCCTGGCAGTTGGCCGCATCCCATCTCCTGGCTGCCAAAGCTTTGAGAAGTTCCAAGATGGAGAGCGACCCGCAGCTGAACTCGCGTCTGCCACATCTGCCTCCACCATCGTGCCGATCCCAAGATCGCGGCAGGCGACAGCACGACGCTTTTACGACGTCGTCCGGTGGAAATCGAGGGACCACGATCGTATGGGCACACTCCAGCCACCGACAATTGCCACAGAGAGGCCAACGCGCAGGGCCCGCATTTCACGCCGGGACAGCACTTGGGATAAAATGCCTGGTGGCGACTGCCGAAGAAGACTGCCCATATACCGCCGACTGGCTCTGCGTCCCGCACAAGCTGTGCGCTAGGACGGAGGCAGCGTACCAAAGGCGCTGTAGTTGGCAACCCTGTATGTCTGCACGGTCTTGAAGACCGGGAAGACGGTCATCTGCTTGACCGCGGCGTGCTTCGCGATGCGCCCCGCGACGAAGCCGTCGGCGTTCTTCTTGAACTTGGCCTCGTCGAGCGATGCGAAGGTCCCTGGCCGCTCGATGAGCACGCCCGGACCGGACCATCCCAACTCGCTGGCGAAGCTCGGCACGTTGGGCTGGAGCGTCCTCCGAGGAGGGAAGGGGACGTACGCATAGAAGTACTCCACGTCCAGGGAGGCGGCCATCAGCGACGCATCGGGGTGACGGGCCTGCATCAGCTCGTAGGCCACCCGGCAGAACTGCAGACAGTGGGAGGAGACTTTCAGTTCACGCAGATGCGGCAAAAAGAAAGCTCTCTCTGTAGCATATCGGAACTCTCCCTAATAAAACTAAAATTAAAATTTAAAAAAAAAAATGACATTGATTTTTTTGTTTTTGTTTCATATTGCGTTCGAAGAGTGAAGAACATACAGTAATATCTTGAGATGCCCACCCCCAAAAAATATACCACCTCGATTTTAGGCCTTGATTGGCTATTTTCTTTTTAAAAACCAATCACAGCTCATCCCTAGAAATGATATTGTTCATATCAGTGATGGCCTCGGCATAAATTTGTCTAGCAGGACACATTTCTGACTGGCAAGTACAGTCATCTCTGCTTCATTGTCCCTCGCCGCAATAACAAGTTTGACGAAAAAACATCTAAAAAAATATTTTTTTAATCTTTTCTTGACTGTACACTGAAAGTTAACCTGCTCCTTATTTTAGCCTGACTTGGTCCCGATTTTAGGTAGGCAATCCCTCGAGATATTCCGGTATATTTTTATAAATTTCCGAGCTAAATTTACAAGGGTGATTTCATTTGAATTCGACCAAACTTGTCGGGGGGGTCTTTAGATTTAATCGTAAAAAATATATATGATACCCGAATCCTTGTGATGAAAGAAACTGCCTTTTGAAAAAAATTAGAATTGTATAGTTTGAGAGAAAAAAATTCTGAGGCGCTGCAGGGTAGAACACGTCAAATACCCAATTTGATTTTATCTCGACTTTAGCCGCCATTTACAAAATATCGAATTCTTGCAGAATTATTATATTTATTACGCAATATTTACACAGACTTGGCTATTTTTAGAGGTAAATTTCTGTCTTCTGTTATTTTAAATTAATTTTCTAAAAAATCTCAAACTAGAGCAAGTGTGACGCAACTTCGGACAGCTATATAAAACGAACGGTAGGGCGCAATGACGTGAGACAGATATCTGTGCGTAGCTATCAATGTAAGCTATCGATTGACATGTATTTTCTGGTTATTGTGTTTACCGTGTTGTTTTTATTCTGCCACAAATATAGACAAAAATGAAAAATATGCAAATTTTGAAGTCAATTTTCTCAAAAAAGCGATTTTTTATTTCGTTCATACTTTTTTAATTTATTGCCCAGATTCTGCTTAATAACCGGGTATAAATATTGCTTGACCTTTTTTTGTTGTAGTTTTAGGACAACCAGTTGAATAAGTCATTTTTATCGCGTAATACCAACCTCCGGCTCCGGTATGCGGGCTTCACCGCAACATTGATAATTGGCTCAGCAATATCAGATTTCACTGAAAACTACTTTACCCCATTGAATTTTTACTAATATATTTTAAAAAAAATCAGTAACGTCATAAAGAAATGAGAGATGGCTGAATTGACGAAGTGATGTCTGCGAAGTCACAGCTTGCATTTTCGAACGTCGCCACGACAATGTTTTACTACTGAGGTTGCACGAAACTTATATATTTAAATTATTTGTTTGAACATTGTGCCGTGATAAACAACAACAAAAGTAAATTTAGTTAACATCAATGTTAACTAGCCTAAGCGAGTGGAGAGATCCAAGACGTTTCATCCGTTTCGATCATGTCGGGTTGCATTCTACGGCACTATCCAGTCCAGAAAAACAATATCCCCGTTTATGCGTTTCGGACAATCTTTATTTTATACAAACATTATCGGAAAATCGGCTCGAATTTTTTAAATTTACCGCATGGCATTCTTTCGCCTATCCTTCATTGGCCCTTAGTACTCCGAGGTACGTGAAAAAAAAAATTGACTACATTTTGTCCATCCTTCGGCTTTTGGACTACTTGTTGCATACGTTTAAATTTTTTGGGCTACGCACAGCATATCGGAAGTTGCTTTTCAGCTTACAGTAATCATACTCTTTTGTTGGCAGTATGCAATAAAACATTCATAGGTAACAGTTTAACAAAATCACTCTATTTATTGAGTAATTTATTTGGGTTAACAAGGCACACCTATAGAAACACATAATTTTTCACAGAAGCGCAAATGTACAAGAAGAGGCTTTAACAACAAAACAAAACAAAGCCGTAGATCATCTGAGAGTTCCGCACGTGCACCACAGAGGTTCATGCATTAAGACGAAGATAGAACAGTTCGCTCAAGCTGCACTTCGCCCCTTTCGCGTCGCCACACGTGCGAAGCGCGGATGCCTTTCTGAGTCGGTACGAAACTCCACTCTGTTTTCTTGATTCTGCGGAAGTCACTCACCTCCTTCTCGGTTAAGTTCATGAGAGTTACGTTTTTGACACGCCTTCCAACCTTGTCCACAAAATCTACTGATGTTCGGACGAGCTGCTCCTCCGGTGAACGGAGGTTGTGCACCGTTGCGTGGTGTTTGAGAAGCCCTCCAACCCCGTCACAAGAGTTTTTACCATGCCCAGAGGCAGAAAATATCCACTTCAATTGGGTATGGCCCACTCGTTCGAACTCATGCAGCTGAAATCTATTTTTAAAATGAGCAGGTGCCCCGTCGGATATGTACGTTAGTGAAGCATAAACTGGGATGTGCTCCTCCAGCCAGTCTTCTATAAGTCTCAGAGCCAGCAGCGCATGGGAAGTGTCATGACATAAGTCCTCACAGACAACGCCGAAGCATTTTGAGCCTTGCGACGTGGATGCCACACACGTGAAAACAGAGAGCTGACGCTTGTGCCAGTGGTACTCCTGTATCTCGTGTGGCAAAATTACCGTCCAGTTCTCCGCAAAATCGAAGTGCATAACGATGTGTCTTGAGGTCACACTAGACTTCTCAATCCGTATGGCTTCCCGTTGTGTCCTACGAATAAAATCGTGCGTGGAAAACCTTGTGGCCCATTTCTGTAGCTCTTTCAAAAAGGCGCTGGAGTCGGCAGTCTTGCTTATCAAATTACCATTCTCCCATGTGAAAAATGTAATTTCCTCTTCAGGCACCATTTCCAATGATTCTAAGGAGAGTCTGTCAGTCGAGGGGCAGTCTTTGCATTCGCCTCTGAAACATTCGGACGAGGGTTCAGGGCAGAGGCACAAAGCGAGAATCTCCTCTTTTGTTATTTTTTTCTTCTCGCATGCTGTTCAGGGTGGAAAAGCACAAATCGAAATTCGTACAGCACACACATGCACAGACAGTCTGTTCAGGGTTTAGCTTGACCCACTTTGGCCGCAGCGAGTAAAATTTAGTCAGACCTAATTTTGAGTCCGGGTTTGCTTCCTTAAACAGCCTGTACGTCTCTCGGACAGACCTTGTCATATACCGCTTCACGACCACATGTTCTTCGCCATCCTTCAGAAGCTTAACAGCATCTTTTTTGTTTGGGCTCTGCTGAGAACAGTCGAGATCGTCGTCGGTGTAATATTGCGTGGCTGCCCGTATGGTGTCCTCGCTTATGCTTCCACTGTGATAAGGCTCCGGACGCTCCCATACGCCGAACCGTTCACGAAGCTGCTTTAATTTCTTCAGAAGGTACTTCGATGCCTCAGGAATTAGCCGTTCTACCTCCCTAGTGGCTACGCCCTTGGGCACAAGCGTGAGGAGCTGACATCTCTCCTGGTAAGATGCCGCCTTCACAAAGGCCTCTCTGATGTTTGCCCACCACCCGTCGCAGCCGAGGCATGGTTGATCACTGCGAGAACTTGACCCACTTGGCTCCAAAGTATATGCAGTCGCCAACTTTTTTCGTACCTGTCGGCTGTGTGATCCTTCAATCTCCCGCTGTTTTCTTTCAGCATATGCCTGACGGCTTTTCGGGTTTACTGTAGAAGGCATGCGCAAAGGAGTTGTTTCAAGCCCAGCAGCAGAAATCTCTTCGTTAAGACCTTCCACTACTTCGTGCTCTTCGATGCAGCTTGCTGGAGAGCTCGAGCATGGATCACTGACAGATGATGAAAGCTTCTCACCGGTGTACTGGAACCAGTTCTGGCAGAGCACGTCATCCAACGCAAGAGCCGCGGCTTTCGATGGGGGCAGGATCATCTTCAAGGCGTCTACGTTGAGATCGGTGACATAACGAAAACGTCGGTTGCGGTATACCCTTCGCTTATGTCTCTCGAAGTAGTCCGCGCAACTCTTTCTTTTAAAGCTGAAAACTGCAGCCATGACTGAGTTCAAAATAACGCGTTCATTCCTCGGGAGGTTCCGGCTTTCTGCTTTCGACGCAGTTCCGCAGTTCTCTTATACAAATTCATTGCTGCAAGCCCTCTTCTTATATTTTTTTTATTCTCTTATACTAGATGAGTTTGTCAAATATAGACACTGATTAGCGAATCAACCTAAGGACGCCAGAAATGTCATGGTGCGTGTTATTCGCTTACAAGTAAAAATAAATAATGGATAAGAGAAACAGACAGACCATAGCACCAGGGGCTCAAAGAGGACTACAAACATTAGTTCCGGAGAAAAGTGCTGCAACGAAGACACAAAATGATAAGCCAACCAAACCTTCCTTTTTGTTCTGATGCTCTTGCCGACACTGTGGCCATGTTTGTACTGGTGATAACTTGCCACCCTTGAAACAAATAAGTATCCGCAAAAGCTGTATGTATACAGTTACGACTCCATCGACCGGCGTGATAATGTCTAGTGTTTACTGCATTTGTTTTCTCCTTTTGACAAACTTGACCCAGCCGAGCTACAGAAACTTCGGGCACCAAAGAGTCTCAAGCTTCCGCCCATAAATTTATTGGGAGAAGGACAAGGACTGCTTCACACAGTTCCACTTCGCTGTGATGCATTGCGACAGCCTGTGACGACGCGAGTTCCACTCTAACAAGATTAGTATAACCCTCTTGCAACGGCGCACGCCGAGGTCAACTAAGAGTCGCATGGTAATCTTCATGATAAGAATCGCAGCCTTTTGCTGGTGCTCGCGAAGAGGTTACTGAACCTATACTTCACCTAACAACTGGACCAGTTGCAACTGATGTAACGAACATGGCTCTTTCTTTTGATGTAAAAACAAACATAAAGAAAAGCGCCAGAAAACGTGCATACCCAGCTGGTAAGCAACACACTGGAAATCAATTAAAAAAGTTTGAAAGAGAAAAAAAAATTTGCCTACGCCACTTGCCTTCTGTCATTTTTTTGTGACATTTCTTTTTTTGTAAAAAGTATATTACTAGGAATGCAACGAGGTAAAGTGGTTGTCAGTGAAATCTGATATTGCTGAGCCAATTATCAATGTTGCGGTGAAGCCCGCATACCGGAGCCGGAGGTTGGTATTACGCGATAAAAATGACTTATTCAACTGGTTGTCCTAAAACTACAACAAAAAAAGGTCAAGCAATATTTATACCCAGTTATTAAGCAGAATCTGGGCAATAAATTAAAAAAGTACGAACGAAATAAAAAATGGCTTTTTTGAGAAAATTGACTTCAAAATTTGCATATTTTTGATTTTTGTCTATATTTGTGGCAGAATAAAAAACAACACGGTAAACACAATAACCAGAAAATACATGTCAATCGATAGCTTACATTGATAGCTACGCACAGATATCTGTCTCACGTCATTGCGCCCTACCGTTCGTTTTATATAGCTGTCCGAAGTTGCGTCACACTTGCTCTAGGTTGCATGTTTGAGATTTTTTAGAAAATTAATTTAAAATAACAGAAGACAGAAATTTACCTCTAGAAATAGCCAAGTCTGCGTAAATATTGCGTAATAAATATAATAATTCTGCAAGAATTCGATATTTTGTAAATGGCGGCTAAAGTCGAGATAAAATCAAATTGGGTATTTGACGTGTTCTACCCTGCAGCGCCTCAGAATTTTTTTCTCTCAAACTATACAATTCTAATTTTTTTCAAAGGCAGTTTCTTTCATCACAAGGATTCGGGTATCATATATATTTTTTACGATTAAATCTAAAGACCCCCCCCGACAAGTTTGGTCGAATTCAAATGAAATCACCCACAAGGGAACTTGACTTGGTACGAAGGTCATGTGATGCCGATTTTCCCACTCAATTTATCTGGAAACTGAATGGTGTATAGGTCACATGACATTAATTTTCCCTTTGAACTTAGCGTAAATACAAAATTGGCGTATAGACGCTTTCAGCACATCAGTTCGCCGAGCTGCCACCAGTGGGCGTCCTCCCCAGGCCGCCAGCCAACCTGTATTTTCGTCCGGGCTCCCGCGCCTACCTTGCTAGCGGATGTTTGTGTGACGATTGAGCGACTGCAGTGGTATGCGTAAACAGCGTCCAACGGGCAACATGTGCTCTGCAGTGGGTCGAAAAAACAGCAGTGGCAACATTGAGGTCTGGAACCACGCCGTGTGCACTGAACATGCCTCGGCGAAGCACATGGACCATCCGTGCTCTGTGCCATTTTCGATGCACTGATTCGTATTGAATTACCCGAGCAGAACATCTGTAAGGCGGGACTAACAGCACTTTCTCTCGGGCCGCGCTCGCAAACTAACAACTACTCGTTTGCGCCAGACTTTCTACTGTAACTCATTCCGATGCCCCCAACATCGCACGTGGTATTCTTTTCTGAGGAGCGACGAGGCGCAGCGCTAAAAACTGCATGCGAGCGACTTCCGGGCGAGGGGTAAAGTTAACTAGGAATCTACTACAACTGAGCGGTGTCACGAGCAACAGCAAGCAATCCACCACAGCAACGGCCCAGCCCGTCTCTGATGGCAAAGTTTTTCCCTTGCCAAATCACCTACCTGATTAAAGTGCTCAAATGCAGCAAGAAACAATACGACTACACACAGTGGCATCAGTAGGGGTGTGGGGTGTTGTAATGGGCAACGAGCGGGTGGATCACAGCAAGTCACCGCTCCGGGTGTCGCCGACCCCAGTGACGCCACTGCCGCGACGAGTAGAGTATACACATGCAGCGATGGATAAGACTGCGATAGCCTTGCTGTGTCAACACGATATTTGCAGAAGTAGCATCGGGTAACTACCTTTATTTTTAGCAAAAACATAAACTTACATGGTCTCTGAAGTCTAGGCCATAATATTCTGTCATCGACCCATTCACAGTCCAATTCCATTGTATATAACACCCCGGCGGTGGCTGGCAAAGCACAGTACACAGTGGGAAACGTAGGGCAGCAGCAGGAAAGTAGAGGCTGGCAATGGCAGACGGGTCACGTGATGCCAAGATGGCGGTACCCATGCAAAGTTGCCTGAAAGCGTCTATAGGTCTTGTCACGTCAAGTTATGAGACATCAACTTCCCTGCTAACTTAAGCGGTGAAACTGAATCGGTCTGTAGGTCTCATAACATCAGGTCACGTGACACCAAATTTCCCACTAAATTTAGAAGGGAAACTGAATCGATGTTACTGCCATAAATTTTTCCATTAAATTTGCCAGAAAATGCACATATGAACGGAGAGACAGAAAAAATTTTGGGATTGGGGGGGTGGGGGGTTCTTTAAAGGGCAACACGGCTTCATTTTTGGTTTTGTAAAAAACAGCGCTGTCCTCTTCAGTATCACCTAGGAAGACAACACGTCAAATATTACGACGCATTTCTGCCTAAATGTTTCTTAAACGATCCGGCAAACTTTGACACTCGCCAAGTTGCCAAAATCGGCTGACTCGAGCGGGCGAATTCAGGCGCAACCAAAAGCACAGTCAAGGCTATGGCATGGGCGTAGCCAACATTACGCTAAACGTCATTACCATTGCCCCCTTTTTGCTTGTTTTTACTTCTACGGGGGAGCGTAGTGGATGACGTCAGCAACATTTCCTCTCGGCCCTCAGCAGTATCCACGTGATTGGCATAACGCGCCTGCGCAGCGCACTTCTTGGGAGCCGTACGGCCGACCTGCCGTGATTTCGCCATCACCGCCGTCTCCTGCGTCACATCCGCCGTCGTCGTCTCACCGTTTGTGATTACTGTCTCTCGGGGTTTCATCCACCCTATGGACACTATGTGCGCAGATATATGCCGCAGTTGTGCAGACGTCGTCGAATGCCGTAGACACCAAAACGTGGCGAAGAATGCAGACCACACTCGAGGCGTACGCGCGCCCCAATTTCGCCTGTCGTTGCGTAAAGGATTACGTGACATCTTGTACCACGTGATGGCCATGTTCTTTGCGGCCCAAGGCCAACGTTGCCAGACGAAGCAGAAGTTTCGGTTTCGATTTCCGCTCATGTTAAAAGTTAGCTTTTAAAAGTTAGATTAAAAAATATATATCCCATTTTTCACGAAGCAAACAACCTGGAGTCTTTTACTAAGGTTTTTTAATGCGAAATGACTGATTCTCTCAAAATCATTGGAATTGAGCAGAGCTGCCCTTTAAAAAACATTTCATGCTTTAAAAATGGGATCATTCATCTAATTTGGCCCAGGGGGCTAAGTTGGAGGCCATAGGGGCTACTAGAAAAGAGGCAAAGTTGGTTAGTTAGTTAGCTAATTAACAAAATATGTTTCATTAACTTTCTACATTTTCATTTCTGGGGGCATAAGATAGTTGGAGAACTGATGTTTAACCTCATTGGGGTCTATCCAAGACGTAACATTTAAATTAAAAAAATTTGTAGCGGGTGCTACGGTGCAAAAAACGTAATTCTTGTCCACAACTTCAAACAAAAACAATGGGGGCAAAAAGCGCCAGTGACGCTGATCCCCTTGTTCTACCCTTGCATCACACTGCCGACGTCACCTGTGATGAGGACACGTGGATTGCAGACTTGGCAAAGCCAGAGGTATCAATGTCATGGGCACCCTTTGCTCACTTCGGTTCAGTTCGAAGCCAACGGCGACATCTCTCACCCTGTAGAACAAGGGCGACATCTCTCACCCTGTAATGCCTACGACCAATTTTTCAATCAATGTTTCCTGTCACGGCTAGACCATAGTAGGGTTGAACGTCAATTCTCCAATTGCATTACATCCCTCCCAAAAACATTGAAGAAGTTAATTAAAACTTTTTAGTCAACTAGCTAACGAAGTAATGAAAAACAGCTTATTTTGTATTATGTGCTCTGTTGAGTTTCTATGCTGTTGCTGCATGTAATTTGATGTTATACGCTCCGTTAAGTTGTTAAACAGTTTTCTTCTCTTGCTTCCACTATTCACATACCAGAATGGAGAGTGAAGTTATTCTAACTAACCGACTTCGCCTCTTTTCTAATATATAGGTAAAATATCATTTTACTGTAAAGACACTTTGTTTAATTAGAGAACGGTTGAGGAAATTTGCGGGTTCCCCGTGAAGGTGCTCTGAGGAATCCAGTCCGAAAACCCGTGTTCTGAATAAGGTTCTTAATCTTGGGGAATGTCTTGCCTTTGAAGGAAGGTCAAGGAACCCCTGTCGCCTTCTACATTGTTACACTCAAGCAGTAGAGAATCCTACAGACCTCATTAACTTTTATTAATATTAATATTAATAGTGCACACACTAGGGCGTGTTTGGTCAATAGCTATGCCTCGACACATTGCACTAAAAATGCTAAAATGTTGCCTGAATTGGTAAAAGGTTTTATTCAGGGGTAGAAACGATCGATACGACTTGGGTGTTTTGGGAAACCCCTGAGGACGTTTCAGGGTACCCCTGAGTTCCTGGGAAACCAGTTTGAGAACTCATGCTCTACATGTGGTTTCTTTCATGGCTCCATCAAAAGCCGGTCGCATCACGACCCCAGCCAAGTGCTCACCCCTGAAGACATGGTGCACACCAGGAAGTCAGACTCTGCGAGCAAATGGATGTCACTGATCACTCCAAAGAGTGAGGAGCTTTTGCTTCGGACACCCAGGTCGTGTGCCTGGCTGGACGACAAATTGTTGTGAATGACCAGGTAGTCTGGGAACCTGCATAAACGAGATGAGGAGATGCATCGCTGAAGAAAGACACTACAATGTAATCCACTTTTAACTATACCACATATAACGATGTACCACTTATAACGATCAGTTTCTAGGGTTTCCAGACTAGAAGCAATCAGTTTCTAGTGAACAAAAGGTTAGGGCGCAAACGAGCTGGTGGTGGTTAGACATTTGACTAAAACCTTTGAGACTGGGACGAGAAGGGACGGACAAACACAAGGTCTAAAACACAGCTGAAATGTATTCAACAACGAAAGGGCTTATATATAGGCTAGACTAGAAACAATCAGCTTCTAGTCCAGATAGAATTATAATCAGTTATATTGATTTAAATTTTGAATTTTCTCATTATCGTTATAAATGAATTGCTTTGTATAAGCATCAAAGAGAGATAAAAGGGCAACTACCAATCACCTGCTCTTGTCAACTTATTTTTAGGCAAAGGGCAAGACAGCGACGGACGGAGTGAAACTGAAGTGATGCGATTTTCGGTTCGGCAATTTTGTTGAAATGGCAACTTTTATTACAACAAAGCAATGCACCAATCTAACTGAGTTTTCTTGGGGGCAATATGCAGAAATGCACATGCAGTGTTCCTCCTAGCAAAGCCCGAACATAAGGAATATACTAGCGAGAGCACAAGTTGTTCTTTTGTTAGAAAGTTCAACACCCGCTTAATGTAAAAATAAATTGGCTCTCATTTGAGATGGAGCGAAACTCGCGCCCTCTAGGCGATCGGTGCAAAGCTGAAAAAAATTGGCGTTGTCCAGGAACCAATTCTGGGGCCTCTCTAAGACTATAGTGAAAAGCTCTACCAACTGAACTAACCAGGAGCTAGCCACCAGTAGAACAAAGAGTTGCTGACAGTTAGTGCCAGTCTTCATAATCGTACACACAGCACAGCACTTGATGTTTAATGAATAGATGTTAATAATTTAGGGCAATGGGCCCTTTCCGGAAATGTTGGGTGCCACCTATCAAGAAGCAGGAGAAATGTTTTCGGTGGCCAACCTTGCTTCCAGTTCTGCCCGCTCCAAGCTATGTTGACAGTCTGAAAGTCATCGGTAAAGGCATTCAGCGTTTGTTTTTTCTCTATCGAATGCGATCAACTACTTTACATTTGTTTTCAATGAATGCGCTGACTATGGATGACGTCATCCATTTTGCCGAATGAATGAATGACGGACTTTGCTGTAGCGCCCGTCGTGACCGACGGCATAATTGAAGCTCTCTTCGATCAATGAGAAAGTACAAAGATTTGCATTAAACAAGGTTCCATCTTATATGCAGTATCAGCAGTAAATTTAGAAAATATTTCATACCAAGTCATAGTTAAGGCAATCTTTTTTTTTTAAATATTTGTATAACTTGCTCGCAAATTTTAATTGACAGGAAGTACTCTCATAAATGTCAAGGCTCACTCTAAAATCATTGGAAAAACTCAGCGCCTGCAGATACCAATCTCACATTTTCATCAAACATGTATTGTGGTGGATTTCAGCTTGTGAAATTTTGAAGCATAGATCTATTTTTGTGAAAAATAAGACCAGAAAACCTGCCCGGGTCAACGGTGGACGTCTTCGGGGGCGACACAGTCGTCTGCAAACACTGTTGACCCTGGCAAGTTTGTTGGTCTCGTTTTTCGCTGGAAGGAAGCTACACTTCGAAAGTTCAGAAGGTCAAATTCACCACTGTAATATGTGCTGAATCATCTTCTCAATGTGCTGAATCATCTTCTCAATGTGCCGAATCATATCATGTCACTTAGTCATTCACTGAGGGGTTCTTGTTCCCATGTGTTTTCGCTCAAGGGCTTTGAAGGTCGACTGAACAATGGGACATATAAGGCATTCGCCTAAAAAGACATGAAATTGGCCACACCCGTGTGTTTTAAGTCTCGGGATTAAAGACAATGTTGCAAACTAATTTATTTATTCAATGCAAACAAGAAGAAAAAACATCAAGTCAGCCATTTCATCTCCCTTATTTATCCACAAGACCAGCTGATGCAGTCGTGGAGAGAAACGTCTGCTCCCATTTCTTTTTGTGCGTGCACATAGCAACAAACTGTGCAGCATAACCGCTTTACCTCAATGCTTCGTGATTATTTGGTAATGGTGGGCGATTCCAATGTTTACAACAACCAAAAAATGGATAGGCAGTTTGTGTAGCAATGTGAGATCGCCACTTTAGCAAGCAAAAACGTGCGCCAGTCAAGCGCACCATCATAAAAACGTGAACTCCGAGACATTTACTCTGTGTGGAACATAGACAACATGACAGCATACCTAACCAATCTGTACACTTTATTTGCACACCAATAAAAAAAAAAGGAACAAAAACACGAACTGTTTTTGAAGTGGCAACTGCAAATGTGGGAGCTGACTTGTATTTACACATCAATCAAAACTAAAGGAACAAAAACATGAACCTGAAGTGGCAACTGAAAACGCAAGAGTGCGTTGAAGACTGCCTTTACAAGTCGTCCGCATTGTTTTGCAGGATTGCCTGAATCCACAGCTACAGCTTCGTTGGGAGCAGGTCAGTAGGAGGAAACGCAAAGAAACCTAAACCGCAACAACGCTTGCTGTCGCTGCCTCAGCCGACAACGAAACAGACTTGGGTTATGTCGGAGATCTCCGAAACGTGCACCCACCGCTGCTTCCCACAGTTCCGAGCCGGACGCACTACGCCATACAAAATGGCAAACTCCTGACTGCTGCTGCTGCGCATGCACTGCGGAAGCTCCGGAAAAACCCCATTTCCCGAGTCAGAAAATATATATATGAGAATACATTTACTTCTATCCGCGACGACAAAGCACATTTCGCACCCCCTAGGAAAATTGTGTCTTAGAGGATTCTTTTTCATTGCATACCAGTCGCCTTGAGGGTGCGAATTGCTCTCGATATCGAGTGGAAATAAATTTATCCTTATCTGAATCTCCATTTGGGGGGTTGCCCCAAATCATTAAAATCCAACCATCACTTTAAAAGGCAAGAAGGTGCGAAGCGTCGTTCCGAAATAGTTGTCAAGAAACAGAAGCCTTCAGGAACTGTCCTAAAGTCAGGGTCATCTCAGTACTATCCCTGTTGCGATGGCTAAATGAAAGCCACCCTATATGAAACGTAATAATGAAATACCACGGGTATTTGATGGACGCAGAAGTCAAGCGTACGACAGGAACAAGATCAGACATTCCCTCGACTCGGCTCTTGGCATCCCATCATAGCAATCGCGTAACTCGATTAAGACAGGCAACAGTGCGGCTCACTTTTTCCTGATCTGGTCGACGACCTTGGGCTCGTCCGTGGCCACAAACACCCTCTTCTTCTCGACAGGGGCCGTGAGTGAGAGCCCGGCGTAGAACTCCTCCACGTGGGACATGTACTCCTCGACCGAGTGGTAGGCGGCTTCCCTGCTCTTGTCTGTCTGCCTGATGTGAACCCTGCAACGAGGGGCGCCCTCTTTTGTCACAGGGTGGTCACAGATGTGGTGCGCTTCGGGAGCGTCTTTTGCCATACGGATCCTGAAGGCTGGTTCACACATTCGCATTTGAGCGTGATAGACAGCATTGCCATCGCTCACAGCTCTGTATGTCAAGAGAATGTGCTCATGCCATCCATTAGGCAACCCTGGAAAAATCCGATTCGCATATTTAATTTATTGTACTCTCAGGGCCCGAAGGCATATAACTAGATCTGAGGTCTAGTTAAACATAGATATATAGGGTGTCCCCCCCCCCCAAGCGGACCCACCGCCGTAAAACGAGCCGGAAAAATATCCGCCTGCACACAGAAAGCTTAAACTATCGCCAAATGTAAACCGAGCCGGTCAGTTTTACTGTGTGAAAATTCAAAGTGCAGTTCTCTTGCTGTAAAAAAAATTAGAGCAAAATACTTGACAAAGTCAAGGTTGGGCACGTTTGCAGACATCCGAGTTAGCGACGCCCTTTACTTCTTGCAACACCTCCCGATAGGTGCAGTGAGCAGAAAAGAGTGCATCGTCTGCTCGTTGTGCATGTCGGGAGATGACGTCGCAAGTTAGTAGCATCATTAACCCGGTCATCTGCGAACGCGCTTAACCTTCTCCTTGGCAAGTTTTTTGCTCTCATTTTTCGCAGGAGGCAAACTGCGCCTTAAAGTGTCGCATGGCCAAACTGACCTGCTCAGTGCAAATTCGGTGAAAATTCTACCTTTCTCAGGCGCCAATTTTTCAGGCTCGTTTTAGAGCAGAAGGTTCGCTTGGGACACTCCATACACTATCTGCATGTGTTATCTGCATATACGTTATCTGCATTAAGGCAGCTTCATTGTACGTAGACACGAAAGGGGGAAGCCAGGAGAGACCTATACCACGTCTAGCTTCCCTCTTCCCCTTCGTCCCAATATAAATGACAAAATTATGTTGTGTTTGCGAGATTTAATTTAGCATCTAAGAGGAATGGTCACTTGTAACACTGTCAGAGTTATTTCAAAGCGGCGGTGAGAGAATGCTGCGTAAAGTATGTGCAGACGCAAAGCACTCGGGGGCTAGCCAAGAAAAAGAGCAACTTGTTTTCTCATTGTAAATGGTCACAAGTGTTTGCAACACAGTCGATCACAAAGACAAATGGTTGAATCAGCCTCAAGTTGTTCCGGTGCCAATCAGCCCACAGATACTTTGCCAGGGCTGTGTCCCTACTCATGCAATGGGCGGATTTAAGGGTGGGGAAGGGGAGGAGGGGTGAATGTCCCCCCCACGGTCAACTTTTCTTAATGAAAGATAACGATACATAAGCTTTTTTTTATCAAAATATTTTTAGTTTTTGATGACATGACAAATATTCAGAGTTTATCTCGAAGCAGATATCGAATAGTAGCATATTATTCGAAAATACTATTCCAAAATTTAATTATTTGCCAACACTACTAAATTTACTAGATAAGAAACAAAACTTGTTTTTTGGTTATGAGCATCAATGACATTTAAGATGTTGAACATCAGGATAACAAAAATTGGCACGTAAACAATAAATATCCTTCTTCAAACAATCCCTCCAAACTTAAAAGGTTAAAACAGCGCAAAAGACAACAGACAGGGTAAAGAAGGACACAGACAGTGCACTGTCTGTGTCCTTCGTTATCCTGTCCATTGCCTTTTGCGCTGTTTTAACCTTTTAAGTATGTCACACCAACTCGCCCAGGCTTCAACCTTAGCAATCCCTCCAAACTCAAAAAGGTTACCCCCAAGATTTCTTCCACTACTCTAGCTAATTTAGTTTCCATCTACTCTACTGACTGTACCATCGAATGGACGAAACCTATATAGAGGTAATAAAAAAACAAGAAAAATAACAAAAAATAACTTAAACCTAGAGAGTAGTCTATACTTATCCACTAGCAATACCCAGGTATCCTTCCTAAAACTCGAATTTGGAGATGTCAACAAGATATCACTGTCTATTCTGCATACTATACTTTTCACCTCAAGAACCGCAATAAAAAAAGTCTGGCTCCTTGCGGAGCATCACCAATTTCCACAATTATGTGGAGGGTTAAGGTATATCAGGGATCGCACGGGTACTTGAAAACCCTTGAATTTGAAAACTGCATTTTCCAGACCTTGAAAGCTCTTGAATTTCTAGCAGTGCTTGAAAACCCTTGAATTTCTTGATGATAGTTAGTTGTTGTTGTTTTTTTCGGCAATATTTAAACAATTTTTTGCAATAATACATAAATGGTTTTTTCACGTGTATGTTAACATAAATTCCAAAATTTCAACAAGAAAGTTTTCTTATGTGGCACATTTAGACACATTTAGCGGATGCCCGTTAAGCACCTGGCCACAATGGTAGCAGTCCCGGTGGTTTTGGATCCGGCCTCGCCCATCTGTCATCTTGCGATCGTGCCCCTCGTTCGCCTTGTTCTAGTTTGCTAGTTACTCCTGGTTTGCTTGTTCCGCTTTTGTTTTAGGCTACACATGGTGGACGTAGTTTAAGTTGTGCGCAATGCTTGGGATGTGCAACTAGTAACTACAGACACTGAGAAAGTAGAGGCAACAGGTGGTATCACCTACAGTGTCAAGTCGAACAGCCTAAGGAAAACGGCGATAACGAAGATGCAAGACCTTCTAAAAATCAACCAGGAAATCAAGGAAAAGCTGGAGTAGCTCTACTGAACCCTTTACTGGCACCTCTTTGGCAAATGCGCCCTTTCCTAGGTATTGTACAATAAAGAATTTTTGCAGTGCATTCAAAAAAGTTGTTATATTATAAATTTACTAGACAGAGTATTGGAAGGGGTCCTTGAAAATATCTTTACCGGCCCTTGAAAGTTTTTGACAACTGTTGAATTCTTTTCTTTGAAGTCTGTACGATTTCTGTATACGTAGGTGTATTTTAGATTATTAGATATATGTTATCTTATCGAGACATCCACGCGTCAAATGCCAAAAGCATTGCTCCTTCCTCTGACAACCCAATCTTGTAAGAACTATTTCGCGCTGCGTATGAACAATGTGCAAAACTTCCTCTTTTCTTCAGGTAAAAACGAGTATAGCTGCAGTTTTATATAGAAACTGCGTCTAATGCAGCATTTTGCTCCGGAGGAGTGCTTTCATCTCAGCATACAGGTGCGCCGAGGTGCAGCAAAATATGCACTCGCAATGCCTACTTTGCAGTTGTCACTTCACTGCAGTACATTAATGCACAGTGAGAAGCACACTCAATAAGACTGCGAACCCGCCAGAACAGACCAAAAACATAAGAAATGATACGAAAGTAGTAAGTATTTTATGCAGAGACCAAATCAAATACTACTATATCTAAGGCCATAATCAAAACGTAAAAAAATTTGCGCAAGCTTACCGTAACAAACTGGACATGTAGTTAACCAAACAGCTAGTATTACATTTTCAGTATTAATAAAGTGAAATTATATTTTGATGCAGTGTTAGTGAAAATTCCTTGTATTTTGGCAAAATGTAGAAGGAAGTAGTGCGGTAAGCCCTTTGGTGACATGTGGTGCAGTAATCCCAACATTTTTGGGATATCATGGTACAGTAGAAACCCCTTATAATAACTCCGCATATATAAAATTTCAATTATAGTAAAAGGAAGCGTCGGCCCCGACTGAATTCCCATTTTCTCTATGGCTCAAAATCCTGATATAGTAAACCATTACCACTCGGAATGCTGGTTATAGTAAAACACAGCGGCGCTGATGAAGTGTTATTTCCCCACCACAGTGTAATTTATCGGTGAGATCGGCATAGATCGGCTCCTAGATTCTCTAAAAGTGTGCATTAACTACCAGAGTACTACAGGCTACAGTGCTACATCGTACGATGACAGCGTTCTGAATGGTACTGCGGTCGCTCGTGATTGTTTCCATTTTCAGGGGTCATCGATCATCCGCCATACCAAAACAATAGGCCTAACAAAACTGAAAAGATGCTGCTTTTTTTTTTTTTTTTTTTGAGTTTGGGACTGAACTGTGCATTACGACTGATTCACATCGTGAGTGAATTACGCTCATTCAAGAAGCAGGTAACGAACAAATACAAAAGCAAATTGCGGATGAATTCGGCATTTTTGTAGCAACGGTGTTGGCCTTGGTGGAAAACAGTAAGCGTATTGAGGACACAATAGCCGATGGAAACAGCGGAAACTGCAAAAGCTTCCGAAGCTCCAAAAACGAGAACGCTGCCACCGCGCTGCTTGAGCGGTTTCAAAAAGCGTGTGCTGCAAACGTGCTGGTCAATGGACCTGTTACCAGAAAAAAAGACTTTGAGGCATCAAACGGATGATCTGAACCTTTCAAGGCGGGGAACTGTCTTAGTTTTCATCAGAAGTCGGGTGACGAAGGGCAGTTTTTGATGCGTCCGTTAAATAATGAACCGAGCAAGTGCTGCCCAGAGGAAGAACCTGAATTCACCCCTACAAGGCGTGAACTCTTGTTGGTTTTGGACAGTGGGGGGACTCTAAATGGAGCACAGGCAAATGGGCAACACTATGCCCACATGACAAGCCTCAAGAGCTTCCTTGTGAAGTACAAAGCACCTACAAAACAAGCTGATATAACTGAGCTCTTTACTGCAACCTAAGCGGTATTCTTATAGTTGTGGTGTTTGTGTTTTTATAAAAAAACATTTTATTCATTTCCACTCTCTTTTTATAGCTTTAATAACATATTTTTTAAAGGTGCTGCTGATGTATAATGAAACTCCCGATATAATAAAATTACTGCCCGGTCCCGACAGGTTTACTATAAAGGGGTTCTACTGTAGTTACATTGAACCAAAGTTTCATACAAGGGCTGTGTAAAAGCGTGTTTTGGAAAGCTTTTCCTACTTTCTCAAGATTCCTTTTTGAATCACAACACAAAGCTTTGCCCCGGTACCCCGGATACTTGCCCCAGATCTAGAACTTGGATTTGAATATTTTTGTTAGGGTTGGATATTTCATAAATTAGAGAGTGCAATGAAGCTAATGTTTCTGGAAACTTTTAACTACAAAACATTCTAATTGGCAAAGACTTTAATGACGCATTTGTAATCATCAGCAAAATAATTACAACTTATCATGACTTTTTTAAAATGAAGCTAAAATTATAAAAACGGCTCTCTAGCAATTTCTACTCTTCATAGAATATGTAGACATACTTAAGGTCCATACGCACATTCGCGTTTGAATGCGTTTGAGTGCGTTGCGGAGTCCTTGCGGCCAGGAGCAGTCACTTGCGGTGCGACGCGAACCTTCCCGCAACGCTCGGCAGCGCGACGCAAGCGAGTAGAGACTCGCTCAACTTTCCGAAGCGTTGCGGTACGTTCGACCAATCAGAAGCCAAGGAAGGAGAAGAGGGTGACGTGTCCGCTCGCGCCACTCGGCCGACTCGGCGAGACGTATCCGGTTCTCCGCTCGCAGTGCTTGCGTTTTCGTTTTGGGGAGCGGTGGGGACTGGTTTTTCCAAGGCTGCGATGTTCAAGCTCGACAAAATGTTGGGGCAGCCAGCGGGATTCTCCCAAGATCGAACTCTTCGACGCTGTCTCTGGGCGCCGCCATGTTGCCATGGATTTCGCTTGCTATTGGCGAGCGGCTAGCGACTATAGCGCATTCTTATTGGCGGTTGACTGCATGTCAGCGCAACTGTGTGTACAAGTATGGCGCAAGTGCTCTTTGCAACGCAACGCGTCCGCTTGCCGCTACGGAACGCACCGCGCTCAAACGCAGATGTGCGTATGGACCTTTAGTGTTATAGTTTTGATGGGGGTATTGTAGATAAGTTGGGCAAAAACGTGCCTGATGAAACTGAGATTTTCTTGGAAACTATAAGAGATAGGAAAACAATAAGGTTATGTTTTTTTTAGTTAGCACAAAAAGTTATGGTGGATGTGATAACTGAATATAAATTGAATGAGAAATGATAGAAAAATTATCAAGGGCAGGGTTTCCCCTTAACCTGACATTTGGTTGATTTCTATGTATTTCGAGAGATTTCATTATTGGTGACTGTTGTCTCAACAGTTTATTGAAACGTGCCAAGACTAGCCAAAATGGCTGTGGGTTCAGATGGATTGTCGGTAACCTGTAATGTGCACTTAGGGAAATAAAACTTTTGGATTGAATTGAAAGGCAACTCACCCAACGATGGGGTGAGCGTAACCCTGGGCTGCCTTGAGCTCCTCTATCTTCCGCAGTGTCGAGTCTTGAAGCCTGAAGGCATAGCTCACTATCTGCCCATACCACCAGGCGTACGGGCTTCCGTGGTTGCCCACCAGGGGCTCCACAATTGTGGAAGGTAGGTCCAAGATCTGGCTCCTCTCCTTGGGCGCTAGACGCACACAGGGCAAAGAAAGACTGGACATCATCATCTTTCAAAGGGCTAAGACTATGGCACCTGAACGTTGCAGTACTAGCGACTGCGCATTAAAGTTCAGGAAAAAAAAACTGCTCGAGAAAATGCAAGTGTCTCTGTCATCCTGGCACCATAGTAAGGAGGGCTTACAAAAAGGGTGCCTTGCTTTCAGGGTCTATTAAGGCGAAAGGCTTATCTGTCTCATCGTTCAGCCGACCTTCAAAGTCCTTGAGCGAAGACACGTCGGCGACACGAAAGGTACCAAAACATTTACGTGACCACACAGGCGAATTAGAGGCAATGAAATTAAGAAGGATGACAAAGCGGATTAAAAGGAATCAAAGTGAAGTCCTAGACGTCGTCCTCTAGACGTCGTTCTTGACGTTGTCCTACACGTCGTCCTAGAGGTCGTACTAGAAGTCATCCTAGACGTGGTCCTAGATGTCATCCTCTAGGCGCCGTCCTTGAGGTCGTCCTAGAGGTTGTCCTAGAAGTTGCCCTAGGCATCGTCCTTGACTGGCTTTCGCCGTCCTACACGTAAGCGGGCCTTAAGTGTACTCGTGTAACTTTTCCAGCCAATCAAAAATAATGTTGCAATTTTTTTTTTTTTCTTTTTACAGATTTAGTGTTTTTAGGGGTGTACGTCTTTAGGGTATAGTTTCCTTCAAATTCAGCGGTATTTTTCGGTGTTCATTTCTAGTCACAGAGTTGACATTTTTTGGGGCCCGCACTTTCAGAGTTCATTTTCCTTTTAATTTGGGGAGGGGGGGATGTCCTTTCGGAGTTTATTTCGTTCTGCAGATTTTGTGTTTTTCGGTGTCCATTTTTGCTATCACATTAATATCTGTGTTCGTGGGGGCTTATGTTGAAGAATATGAGGCACGGATTTGGGATTTCCCAGCCTCCGGGCAACATGCAAGTGACACAAATGTTTGGAAGATGTCCTGGCACTAGTAATAAAAGAGAATGAGGTAAGCGGCAAGGTTCCCCAAGAACCAGACCCCTTACCTCATTATGCAGAAACGTTTTGGGAACCCACGTTTTAATCAGTAGAAAACTTGCACTGCATTCTTTGTAGCTGTTTTTGTCAAATTACTTCAGCCTTGTTGCTTTCCTGGATGGACTACCAATTTGTTTGTCTTGTTGCTGTTCTTTGGGTATTAAGCATTTCTGATTCTGCTTATCCTGCTTGGACCACTATGGTTTGGAGTACGAAATATATAAATACATAAAGAAGCAGCTTCGCAGACAGATCAATAGGGGCTTTGTTCTGGATCAATGCAAAATGAAGCTGCAAGTAAAGATTTGTTTCAATGAAGTTTCAGTTTTTCTTATTCAAGGATAGTTCTAATCTGGGTATTCTTTGGTATTCCTGGATTTTGATAAAACAGCCCTAACTTGTCAGAGTTTAACAGTGTTTACTTGAAGGGGGCGGAGTAACATTGGTGGCGCTGCCATCTGCCGGTGAGCACATGAAACAAGCTTCAAAACCTAAACGCGAGCCAGACTCGTGATAAGGATTTCTGGTTCCTAATGAAGGGCAGAAGTGACACTTATGTAGTAGCCAAAGGATTAACTCTGGTCGTCACCGTACACATACGGCGGTGATTACATATTTGAAAGTGCCTGCCTAAACGCGAAACTCAGCACATTGCAGGAGCAGTTGCTATTTGGTATGTCTTTGTCAAACTATAAACATTATATTCAGATGGTGTTTCGCTTATTTGACGGGCTATTTACAGTTCCTAAATTAGATGCTGTGTGCACATGACGCACGCTTTACATACCGGCCGCTTTACCGGTAGTGCGGATGGGGGCACTGGCTCTTCCAATTCAGACTTCCAACGATTTTAGGAAATGAGTTCTTAGGAAGAGAGCTTGTTGTCCGACGGAAAAGCTTTGCGAAGTACGTCCAGTTAGGAAGGGAGGTACTTTGCGCCCACTTTGCGACCGTTAAACGTGGCCCGCCACGTTTAGCGGTCTGAAGTCGCTAAAAGTGGCGGAAACGGATGCACCAAATTAAAAAGAAATGAAAGAAAGGTGACGGCTTTTTGTCTAAAATATTCTAGTTTTATGCTTGTAAACATAAACAGCGTGCAAGCACTGTACGTGCTTCAAGTAAATAATTAAGCAAAAACCTGCGCATCGACCCTTTCTTATTGTACCTTTTCTTTAAACAAAAAACCAAACCACTGGGAAACACCTTTTGGCAAAAGAACTTGACCGTCAAACGGTTAAAAGAATATGAATTATACCCACACTAAGAACTACGAAAGAGACAGATTTACATTTACAGTGTTTCATTAGTCAGCACGAAACGCCATTTATCGGGGAACAAATATAAATTCTCTAACGGGAGCAAGACGTGGATGAGGTGAGCACTTGGCGCAGACCGTGCACCAGATGTGGATTATCTAAGAAAGAATACCTTTTTCTCTGCCAAAACTTGCCCCCATTATCTAAAAAAGAACACACCGGGCACCGAAGTTTGTCTGTCTCTTGTGCAGCGGGTTGTGGCATCGCAGTCAAGACCTCAGATTGGAAGGTTATAGTGGATAAACGCAAAAGCTTGCCACCTTCGTGTAGTTCGAAGGGTAGATCGTTTTCTGGGACCGACGTCTACCGGACACACTCAACGAGCAAAGAAGCTACAGCTGAGACGTTATCCGCTCCCGACCGAGAAGTGAAAGGCTGCGGGACGGAACTTTGTCCCACACGCGATCCCTCCCTCTCGCCATGCCTCCTCTCTTAAGCTGCAGTCCTTCTACTAATACATATGTCATACAAAAGACGGTGTGGAGAAGACACTGTCCGGAGCGTGTTTCTTCTGGGTATGACGTCCCTGTCGCATTAGTCATGCAAAAAACTGTCCCCAGGCACGTTCGAAATGCAAGTAGTATGTATAAAACAAACATGCTCAGAACCTGTGCGAGGCGTGTCCGCATTATAATAGCATCATTGTGTCTGCGGCGAATACCGGATTTTTTGTACAATGTACGAGGAGTGTGACTGGCTTTAGGCAACATCCTCCCTTCGTGCATGAGGAGACCTGTTTTAATGCAAAAGCATTAACTGTCCCATGGTACGAGCCGACGTCATCAGTTTGAAGCGCGAAAACGGCCCCTAGTTTCCATGATCCCAAAGGTCCCATTGCTGGCACACGGCGACGAGGCTCCCACTGGCCGCAACGTGCGTCAGTTCCGATGATCGCCGCCAGATGGCGCTGCGTGTCCGTGCCACCAGCGCGCCGATAAAACTAACCGCCGCAACCCCATGCCGCTACAAGCCCCGCGCCGGCTAAAACAGACACGTTGCCGCGTGCTCGGAGGCTTCTGCTCGTCTCGCCGTTGAACAACATGCCGTCGCCTCCATCATCCACATCGTCGGCGGTGCGTCTGCTTGTCTCGCCGTCGACAAACATGGCGCCACCTCCATCATCCACATGGTCACCGGTGCTTCTGCTCATCTCGATGCCAACGAACGTGGCACTGCCTCTAGCACCCACATCGTCGGCGGCCGCCAGCTCGGCAGTGACGAAACCTGCCCGTCCACGCAAGTACACCACAGACGAACTAAGGAAGCAGAATAACGCAGCACACCGATCGAGGAGGCAGGCCGCCAAATCTACAAATCGCTGTTAAGTCTCCGACTACATGCCGGGAAGAACGAGCAGTGGCGTAACGCGCTGTGCGCTGTCGAGTTGCCCGGTTTACTCACCACCGTGTGTGTCTACTTGGCACAAAACACACCTCAATGTGAGGTGCCTTCGTTTGTCCTTCGTAATATCCCACCAGACATACGTTCCACACCGCTTGTGCTGCTCGGAGACTTCAACCAAAGCAACAAAACTAAAGACAGGTTCCTCGACACGCTACGCGTCGACCTTCGGCTCAACCTCCCATCACAACTTCGCGGGCACTTGCATAGACCTCGCTTTCCACAACAAGAGATCGGTAATAAACGTTAAGTATGTCTCAACGTACTTCACGGATCACAAAACTATGCTCGCTGCAATCAATCCCAACCCGCCACCACCATGGGCGTACCAACCGGAGCGGCAAGGGGGACGCTTGCCCCCCCAGTTCTCAGAATGGGGCGGCAAGGCATGTGTTTTACCCCCTGAAAAAGCCGCCACTGGGCACGGCCAACACTAGCCGGCGGTGCCACAGGTATACCAAGGGCACCGCCCCGGCCATGGGGGGGGAGGGTTCTGGTTTGCCCCCCCCCCCAGTCAAAAACAAGTTGGTACGCCACTGGTCACCACCAACCCCTCCGAGGCCGTTGCATAGCCAACACTACACATCTAACCTCTACCCGTCGGAGGACGAAGACACCATGGCCACCAAAGAAGACATTGTCAGCTTGGATCTCCCTATGTACATTACCTAACACATCACTTGAAAATGAATACAGCGCCGTTTCTCACCAGTATCGCCCCACTGTTTCAGGCCTACAGCCAACATGCGAACGAAAGAACTTTAGAAAATTAACCCGCTGCAATTTCATCACAAAACTCTAAAACATACCCCACAACACAACTTGAAAACATTACTCGCGCCACAAAACCCTGCGGATTACTCACTCTGCGGCGTTCCATTGGACATTCATGCTTTTGCACTCAAAACTCATAAGAAGTGCTTAGGTGTCGTACGACTTTTTTTTTTGTCGACTCGCTCGCCATAGAGTTTGGCCGTACGGAACAGCCAGAAGCTCTGCATCTCTGGCTGGTCTCGTGGCACCAACCATAAATGTTCGAGCCCATCCAACCCGTCACACCAGATGTTGGGAGACGGTGGCTCGCTGAACAAATTATGGCGAGCAAATGTTAAAGTGCACGCTTCCATGTTCACTTAACATTTATTAGTCCCAATTTCGACGTTGAATCACTCAGTCATTAGTCAACTATGAAATTGATATGCCGACTGTTAATGTGTGCTTATAAAGGAATTGTGTCGAACCAAGATATTTCTTGTCTCCCTCTTTTGTTTCTCGGGCGCTGCTTGCATGCCATTGTAGGGGGCTGGGGACTAGCCAAGCCGTTTTACGGTTTTGTTTCCCAGCCCCCACATCCATCGGTTTGATAAGAAAATAAAAATAATTGTGTCGTAAAATACAGTATGTGAGACGGTGCAAGGGCCTATGCGGCACTGACCGGAATCGTAGCCGGGGTAGCCCTTCTCGATGGTGTTGTTCTTTGGAGCGTTAGAGCACGAAGGCCCGGCTATCGGCAGGAACGTCTTTGCCCACTCCTTCCCCGGTGCATAATGCCACTGGGAGCTGTCCAAGACCACCGTCCGGCCCATCCGAAGCGCCGCCACGAAGCACCACAGCACATCGTGGATGCCTGCCGCCACTCCGTGCGGGTTGTCTAGGAGGCATCGGAGCTTGGGCGTGCGGCCGCAATCGGTGGGATTCTGGAAGAATAAATTATAGTACAGTGAAACCCGTTTAAAACGAACCCACATACAGTGAATTATTGTCGATATCGAACTCACGGAAAATTTAAATAAAAATGCATGTAAAAAGTACTTTTTATGACAAACAACAAATTGGCTATATCGAACTTTTTCCCCCCCAAGAAGGCTTCCAAAAGTGCGCAAACTATTCTCTTCTAGCCTGTCTCTTCCCCCAAGAAAGAAGCAGGAAAGAGAAAAAATTCCAAAAGCTCAAGCTGCAAACAAAATTGAGCGAAGAGAAGTGATTCAGAAGGGGAAAAAGCTAAAAAAATACACTCTGCACGCACACACAGAAAAAAAAACTTAATCCCAAAGCGTCTGCTCACGAAGAGAAGGGATTCAAAAGGGGAGCTAAGCTAAACAAAAAAACTCTGCATGCATGCAAAAAAAAAAAAGAAACGAAAAAAAAAAAAACCTCAACAGCGTGGTGTTACAAGGCGGAGATGAAGAGATGAAAAAGAAAGAAGCTCTTGCCTTAAAGGGGCCCTGCAAGGACTTTTTTACTGGTTTTTAATTTGCATCGAACTGAGCGCACTGAACGTAGTAACTTAGTGAAGCTTTTGTTTTCTCGAAATTCCCTTTAGTTTAAAAGTGATAGGCAAATTAAAAGTAAAAAAAAACAAGCAAAAGATAACCTCCCTCATGACGTCCTTGGTTGCTTGAGAGTGACCGTGAACTAGAGGAGAGGTAGTGAACTTATCAAGCGCTCACGGCTGCCGCATCCGTGCCGACGGTGCGAGAGGGAGCCACTAAAGCATGTTCTGGATAGGCTGTATGCAGCAGGCAGCCAGGGCGGCTCGCATTGCATTTGCTGCACGATTAAACACTAATTCGGCATGACACTTCATTGGCCACAAACGGCAGCAAACACGGGGTAAAGATCAGTTCAGAATGCGAGCCACTTTGCACTGCCATACCGCGAAACGGCCAAACCACAAAACAAAGCTTCTCGCCGAAGGCCTTCGGAACGCTCAGAGCCTGTCGGATCCTCCTGTGCATACGACCGCTGCGCCGCCGCGTACATTCGGGACCTTTCCGTGTCGATGCCTGATCCCACTACTCCTTTCTAGTATGCGCCGCCTTTTCCACCGCTTGGTGGGGGTATGCTGACGAATCATTTCTTGTTTTCGTACTTTATGAACTGCATTCGTTTCTTTTCTGATCTAAAACACTGAACAAAAACTACTTTTATAAATAATTGAAACGGTTCGTGCCACTTATATTTTGTATTTTGACTAAAAAGAAGCTTTTAGCGGCTCTGACCAGTAGTAAGCCCAGGATTTAAGACGTCACATTTTGCGCGGTTTTGGTACCGCGGGTCGCCCTCGTCAGTGGAGGAGGTTTCCGCGTCGTCCGGTTAAAATATGACGCACTGGTATTTAGTTACTCTCTCCGTGCCCGCTGGCTTGCCCGAACCCCAAGAGACGTGGGAACCGCAAAAAAGGTAGATGCTTAAATATGATTGCAGGGCCCCTTTTAAAACGAACGGATTGTGGAAGTTTGTTGTAAATGTCTTTTGCTATATCTAACTACTTGCTATATTAAACTGATCGTAGCATTTCGTGCTGTTCGTTATAAACGGGTTTGACTGTACCACAAAAGCATTGCAATTGTGTTGAGATTATGCTTGGACAGCGGGAAGTTGCCGTACCTTCTGAACTGTAGTCCACAAACTATACATATTTAAAAGTTTGAAGTTTGCCTAGTGCAAACTATCTATAGGCACAGACTATAAAAAAATTGTTTCTTTTCTAGATTGTTCATTATGACAAGATGTGGCAGATTTTGTGACACACAGAATATGTTAATGATGATCTACGTAAGATACAATTTGGAATGTTGCAACTTTTTGTCAAACCTACGGTTCAACGTCGAACTTTGAGGTTTGACTGGTTCATTGAACATTTTAACTTCTTGCAAAATTCGATAAAGTTCGACTTATGAACAGTGTTGCTCAGCTTCTACAGAACAATTTCAAATTCGGGAAACAAAAAGTTTAGAAAGTGGTTTACTATGTATAAACACAGAATGTGTTATATGGCTAGCACCTAACCATATACGGTTAGGCACCAGAAAGATGATCTTAATAAACAGTTGCTAGTCCAGCAGTGTTTGTATGCCTTTTCTATCTCTCTCTAATACTTCCTTCATGTTTAGCTGGCACTACAATCTGACCTTAATCTGATAACGCTATGGTGTAACCAGTGGCTAATGGAACTAAACACTGACAAATGCAAATCAATGAGAATATCACATTCTCAAAATAAGTGTCATACTTACCATCTTAACAGTAAACCTCTCGCTGTAAAGTCTGTTTATAAATATCTTGGAGTTCACATAACATCTAACCTTTCTTGGAAGATACATGTCGAATACATAGTTAACAGTGCTAACCACATGTTAGGGTACTTGAAAAGAAACTTCTTTCTCGCTCTGTCTTCGTTGAAACTAACCATGTACAAAGCTCTAATTTGTCCCAAAATCGGAATATGCTGCTGCTGTATGGGACCCTTTTCACTCGTCACTAATTACCATACTTGAATCCATTCAAAACCGCTCAGCCCGTTTCATTCTGTAAAACTACCACCGCACCGCCAGCATCACTACAATGAAAGACACGTTAGGTTTACCATCACTTATTCATCGCTGTAAAATATTTCGTTTGTGCCTTTTTCATAAAACATTCCATCAAAATGCTGTCTTTCATCAAAAACTAATTAACCTACCATCCTACATCTCCGCTCGCAGTGATCAAAGTCATAAGGTTGGCATTCCAAATTTTAGAATATCGTTATTTCAATATTCTTTCATGCCTCAAACGTCCTTGGATTGGAACCACCTTCCCGCCTCGACTGCCAACATCACTGATATTGTCCTGTCTAAGAATGTCCTTACCAATATGTGCACATTGTAAATATTTTATAGCTCACTCCCCTCTTCAATGTATTTACCTTGAAGGTATTTGAAATAAATAAATAAATGAACCAACTAGCTCAGCTTCAAGCTGTAACAGATTACTTTCGTTCGTTAGTAATGCCGAACCAATGAAGCAATACATACAAAAAAAAAAACTTTTCCTCTGACAGGTGCTATCAACCTATTTTCAAATTTTCGCGCATGCACACTGCCGTGTATTACTGCGTGTTCGCCGTGTATAGCGAACACGACCTATTGAGCTCGAACAATGGCCGATGCAACTGCAGACACCAGGATGGGAGAACCGGGCGGCGAGCCACGGAGAAGCACGGGACGCCTGGAAGAACAGACTGGGCACGGTCGCAGACCAGAAAAGACACTTCTTGTAACACCAGCCAATTGTAACCTAAACAGTTAAATAAATATATCCTCGCATTATCCCAAGTTATCCGGTACATCACACACACGAAAGTCAAACTTCGTGTTGGATATTTAAGAAGGTCGGACTTGGTTGAACTCGAATCTCGACAGGTTCATGACATCCCTAGATACAACCTTCTTTTTTATCTATAATAAAGAAGGCATTTGTCAAGGTGAGCAGTGTATGAAAAATTTCTTACATACAGGCTAGGTGCCAGGTGCGGACCATACACAAGGCCTGAATTATCTACGGAAAAACTTTTTTTAACCGAAATTTGTTACTGCAGACTATGCACAGGCTGCGGACTATAGTCCTGAAAATACGGTAGTTGGCCCAATGAGCGTTTGGTGTCTCTGACGTAGGAAAGAAATGTTAACCTGTGCGGTATAGTTGCTAGCCTGGGGTCTTTAATGTGAATCACAGAGTAGTGGAACATAACCACACACCAGTATGGTGCACATCCAAATCGAAAAATGACAGGGGTGGGTATCAAGGCCAGGATCCCTGTTGCAGCACAAACTTTTGCTCCACATGCACCGAGCTGCGGTGTGCCGACACATTTGGCCAACGATCCCTCTGCACCAGAAACGTTTTGTTGGAAGGATCAAGGAGCGGAGGTTACGGTGTCTGGAAAGTATCTCAGACTGGTGCGTCTAGTGTCCTGAACCTTAAATCATGTAAAAGAAACAAAGCAATTATAAAAAAAACTGTGGCATCGTCATTTCAAAGGCCATTTGTTTATGCCGATCATTTCATATTAACGTGAAACATTCATAGGCTAGGTTTTCAGATGAAGGGAAGACTCAAAAAGTGTAAGTGTGAATTTCCCCGCTAAATTTTGCAGGGAAAATGATGTCACATGACTTCGTGTCACGTGACCTATAGACCAACATGCGGCTCTGACGTCACGCTTCTGCGGTGGCGCTGTTGTTGCCACGACAGATGCGCAGAACATTCACCTCACGCGAATCTGGCTTCTGCGCTCGCGCAGTGCCCACACCTGCTATGGGCAAACGCGGGCTTGTTTGTGAACAGTGTGGCTGTCTATACACAAATCCAGTTTGCCCGCTAGATTTAGCAAGAAACTGATGTCATGTGACGTTGCCTCTTATCACCTTTTTATTCTACGTGAAGCAAGCTGGTCTTTATCACTTATTGCAGTTTGTTGCTCGTCATGTATAGAGTAGAATGTTCTCGAAGGTTACGAACATACGCTAACAACCTCGAATGTACCATCACTGTGCATTAATAGAACCACGTCACACACAGCGGCATTCCATTTGCCGATCACCGACTGCACTTCTCAGCCTTGCTGCTTTAAGTTACTTTTCTTTGTAGGACACAAATTCACCCAATAAACAGTTTCTTCGCTGGATTGTCCCCATCACTTTGTGCGTGCCATTGCCCCCGCGTGTCAGCACGCAGAGGTAACAACACAAGCAAGAGCCAGTGTCAACATTCTCGTCAATGAATCAAACAAGAAATATAACCCCCCAAGAATATTTGCAAAAAACTTGAAAAAAAGAAAAAAAACAAATAAATATAAGTCGCACCTTGTATAAAACAAAATGACGAAAATTAGAAAAGAGAAAAAGAAAACACTTACATACTTTGAAAAGTATATAGAAGTTAAAAAGAAGTATTATGTGCAACATCTGCCTTAGAATCATGTGGTACGCTCAAACAAACGCATAATTCCAGACCACTCACCTGTAGCGCGTGTATCTTTTCCCGGACATAGTTCCGTAGCTTGAGCATGTTGGACGCGACGCTGCGATTCACGCCGCCCAGCTCCCTGATGTTCTTGACGTCCAGCTCCATGCTCCTGCGCGACGACCGGCAAACGTCCCAAAAGGGCCAAGGGCTCCGGTGCAAAGCCCGAAACGCGTCCCCGACCGGCGTGTTTGGCACACCCTCAAAAGCGGTCCCTCGATTTCCGCCCAACGACGTCGAAAAAGTGTTGAGTCGTCACCAGCCACGTCACAGCAGCGGCAACGGACACGGCAGGTGCCGGTTCCGCTACGGGTCGCATTCCAGACCGACGGTTTGCGGAAGTTCCGGCAGCCGGGAGTCGGAACGCCGCGACGACGGCGACACTTGTGTTCTCTCATACTTTTTTTTCTAAACTTTTACACCCAACTGCCAGGAACGCGACACCCGACGGAATGACACTGCGGCTTTTGCATGGCTTTTGTGAAATCATTTGTTGCCACTTGGGGACCGCTTTCGATATGTCGGTGGAACGGGACGCTAAAGAGAACGGTCGGAGACGCGTCCCAGACGCGTTCGGCTACTTAACCTCGGCTCCAGCTTGGACTCGGCCCCGAGTTGAAGAACGGCTTAGGAAACCAGAAACGAGCAAAGGACCGGGGACTGATTTTGATGGGGGATGTTGCGAACCTGCCGAGAGGTCCGTGTTCGACCGGGTTGCACTTTTCCAACCTTTAACGCGAGGTTTGTACACAAAAGTTTGAATGAAGTTCGACTTCTTTTGTGCACGGGGAAAATCGAAAATAGGCTGGCTGGTGACACGGCCCTCAGTGCATGCTTGCGTGGTTGGCGGGCATCACGAATGCGAAGTGAAAAAGGTATGGCAAATTGCTAGGCAATTGTGTTGCATACGTCAAACGTTCTAGCATCGCGAGCGTTTATATCGTCGTTTAGCAGCACATATAGCCTGTTCAGCCGGACGCCTACGTTCACGGCGATCTTCGTCGGATAATTTAGTGTGTGACATGTGTACACTTGAAATGATAAACCTGGTGATCTTCCAGAGCCTTCTAACCCACTCCTTTCCCACCTCGCCGTCTCGCCTACTAGTCCTCCTCACTCCACCCCTGGTCAAGTGACATACCCCATTAACTGATCAATGTAGAGCCTTTCTGCAGCCACGCTTTTAACCGGGCATCCGTTTTGGGCTTCACGAAATGCCAAACACTTAGTCAAAGAATGTTTTACATTAAAAAGCAAAAAGAAAGGCCATCTTCAAGAATGACTTATTTTACTTTAGTACTTGACATTAGCATGTATAAACTGTCTGGACACGCATAGACCATCCACCCGTTTAATTTGTGTTTTTTTACGCTGTTCCAGCGTCCCAACCTACTATTGATAGCCGAAGTTTTGCATCAGTGGCTCTCCCTCAATACCTCAACCAGAGGAGGACCAAAAGGGCGTGGTACCTCAAGAACTCCCTGGACTTGGAAAGGATTGCCGGACCATCCCCCCCAGCTTTGAAAAGCGCTCGCAGGCGGTGAACTTGAAAGTTGCGCAGGCCGACGATGGTGGCCTGCAGCTTCCGAAGCATGGCTGCATGCCTGTCCTCTGTCCCTGAACAAAGAAAACATAGCTACATGAAGCACAAAGACTGACATAAGCAGCTCCATCTTCGAGGGAGACAGACTTTTCAAGACTAGGAAGTAGAGACTTCGAAATGTCGTACTCAGTGTCCCACGGCAGATCACGTTTATGTGTTTTTTTTGTCTAAACATATACCTGGCCCCATCATTTGCCGGGATTTTCCACAGATCATAATGACTGGCTTACCACAGACGTTTGAATGGGAAGCTTGATGCGCAGAAAGTTTTAACGGAAGTATTTGGGAGAGTATGAGAGATACAAAAAGCAAATGTGACACCTGCTACACAGTAATAGTAAGTATAAAAAAAAACTTGGCAGCGACCTATATCCCCAAAGTACTATAATGCATGAAATGCAGTATTTGAGGAGCGATCGTTTAAATTATTTACAAGACACTAAACCGTCATTTAGGGGAATGAAGAACCCATATATTGATCAGTTCCCCGATACATTAAGCGGGGAAATTAAATTGGTGTATAGTTCTCGCGACGTTAGGTCACATGAAATCAAATCTCCTGCTAAATTTAGCGGGGAAAGTAAATTGCTGTATAGGTCAAGAAACATTATTTTACCACTAAATTTAGCAAAGAAACTGGATTGCTGTTTAGGTCACATGACATCAGGTCATGTGATATCAATTCTTCCACTAAATTTAGTGGGGAAACTGAATTGGTGGATATAGACCACGCAATGTCAGGTCACGTGACATCAGTTGACTTCACATGACTTGAACACTACCTTCGTTTCCCCATTAACTTTAGCAGGAAACGCAGGGACGGACGGAAATAATTCCTGGATTGGAGGTTCCGTTTTAAAAATCACTTCGTGCTTTAAAAATCATGTGTTTAAACTGCACTGTCTCTAGCTACCAGCTTCGAATCAGAGCAACACAAAGTCAGCAGACGAGAACCTAGTATCCAAGCCAAGGCCAGGAGGTTCCACGACTTACTGGTCAACATCGTAGAGTCAAAGACGTTCTTGTCGACCCTGGATCGAGGTGAATCGTCCTGGTGCCTGAAAGAAGGATTAATGTTAGTTGCAGCGGCGTCAAAGTAAACATTTTAGGTCCCAATCCATTGCCTACAAATAAGGCCTGCTTCAGATGTGATCATTTTCCCAGTGTCTTGATATTGCAACATTCAGCAACTGCAAGAACTCAAATTGGTACATTTTACCGTCACCATTGTCCAAATTCAGACTATTCAGACACAGAACTATGCATTAATAGCATGTGTTAATATCTTAACTCATTGCATAACCCGGGGAAAGGTTTATTTTTAGGGTATGGACAAAACATTTTTATTTGAACTGAATTGCACTGATGTCGCATCATCCATTTCGCACCACAACTGAGGAGAGAGAGGGGAAAGCTGCTCTTGTATGAATTTTGGGTGACAGGATAATCTTCTATAATCTTCTAGAGGGAGAATAGCGACTTCTCAGCAAGTCTGGAACACACAAAGATGAGTCCCGGTGCAAAGGGAGTTCCTCCTTCTCCTCTTCTCTTGTGGTTGCGGGAGAGCAGACGGCATGAAGTCAGGTGTGAGGCATGTATAGCTAATTATGATACATCAAAATGTAGCCAATAATCTGCTCTTTAAAATACACAAAAAAAAGGTTTACACTAATGCCTGAAAAGAGTTTGCAAATTTAAAAGTGTAACTTGGAATTTGTGCAAAAATAAGGACAAAAAGTTTAAACATTTTTAGCTGTATCAAATTATACGATTTTAAGAAATTCTAAACATCCAAATTGTTCCCCATACACAGATTACCATTATCACTTCTAATAATAATAATAATAATAATAATTTTTATATGCATTTTTTTCCAGTATCCACTTTGCAGTGTGCAAGGCTTGGCAGAAAGGTTGGGACCCTTACACAGGTGTGCCTACTTAGTCCTCCGCTGCAAGTTAGAGAGCCCTAGTTGATACTGTGTTTTTTGGTCCGTCGGCAAGCATGCTTTCGTGGTGTCAAGCCACTCAGAGATTTTGTAGCGTGCAGAGGTGCATGTGCTCCAGTAAGATGTTTGTTTTTTAATAACTTCTCCTCCGCTGGTGTTTTTATGGCTTGCAGCCCACATAAAAAGTGGGCCCCGGCTCAGGACATCCTAGAAAGCTAAAACAATGCCCTCCAATCAGCACCTGTCGATATTCCGTGCCTCGAAGATGAAACATTGTATAGGAGCTCAAATCTAATGATCCAACATCACCCACAGTCCTTACTGCTGCTGTCATTCAAAGAACAAGCAGCAAAAGCAGCTAAATCATGCGATTGGGGCTATCTTTGAAGCAGTCCCTAATGACAGCAAGATGCCATGTTTGACAAGTGTCACCATTGCGCCGAGATTGATTTTCTATAGCTCACCAGCTTGGGAGAAAATGCAAAACGAAATCGAAACCGAAGTTGCAGTTTTTCAGTTAACCACGAGATGACGCAATGTGTTCCTGAGCGTCAAATTTGAATTTTGGCGGCACGTGGAATCTATCGATCGCGGATGACTGGTGGCCAATGGGTGCAGCACGGAGGGTTATGCGGCATTCAGAATGCTAGCTGAACAATGTAGTCTCGAAAATGATCCATTTCAAACCAGAGCCAAGTTAAACCCCGTGTTTAGTTGTGTTCACCACCACCACGGGGGACTACGCGAAAATACTGCATTCTTCACTGGCCATTGCTGCTTTAAATATAGTTGTAGCTGCTCTCCCATTCTGAGCCGGACTCGATCCCAGCAATAGACTCTTCATAAAACTCTGTCAAGCAACATTGGCGGTCACCATTTCTTCGGCCCGAAACTTCTGATTGAATCCGAATCCTCGCCAAAAGTTGATACAACACTTGTTCTCAATACAAGCGAAGCCGAGCCGTGCTCATGCTGAGCGCCAACACAGCCCTCATGACTAATATATGCTCAGAGCGCTTGCTCTAGTGACGGCATATTAGCGCAATTGGTACAGCAGCCCCTAGGTGGCACGACCTTTTCGAAAAGGATCTATTCGTGTGGCAGCACGAGAATCTAGGGAACAACTCGTTGGCGACCTCAAAATTGCTGGGAAAATCGCTCCATCTGAAGCAGGCCTATGAAGTATAACTCGTGTAGCAGCTCTGGCACCTCTTCCTCCACACCTCACGATATAGGTAACAGCTTTTTGAGCGCTTCTGCTTCTCTTTTATATCCTGCATTTATTAAGTGGCAGGCGTACGCTCGTTGATTGTCTACAAAGACATTTCAGGCAAGCTCAGATTTGAAATGCACACTGCACCGAGTCTGATCCTGGGCGATGACGTCGACTTGGAAGTCTTCTGTGTGGCACGAAAGAAATGCTACCAGATTTAGAAGCGTGTGGTAGGCATACGGGCTTACCTTGCCTGAGACTCAGCAGGAGTTCTCATCAAGCCGTAGGAAAGTAGCGGCCAATCTCTGACGTCCACGGGCGAGTAGCTGATTTCGCTGGATCCCCTCGTAATCAGGAAATACACGAGTCCAAGGAAAGCCACGAGGACAACGGCCATCCCAAATTTCCTGCACTGGCTGCGTTTCATGGTGGCAGCGAGGAAGCCCTGTGAACCAAAAGACAGGATTTCATCGGAGTGAGAGCATATTTATTCTATTTAATAATTTATCTTATATTGAAATACTGCAGCCCCGCCGAGGCTATTTAGAGAGTGGGGAAAAAAATTATACAATATACAAAACAATTTGTAATAACATTGTGTATACTTTTAAAACAGCAGGAAGTTACCGTAAAATTCTAAGCAAGTGTTCACTTGAAATTGAGAGATAATAGTGTAAAACTGGGTGATGGGGGCCTTTTTAGGTCAACAATACGTAAAGAAACATCCCTTGTGTATCATCTGAATGCTACAAAATTGGGGGGTGGCGGCGCTTATTGTGGAATAGGCGGGTGCTCGGTATTTTAAGGTAGTCAGCGCCAATAGGTGTCTGATGTCTCTGCTGTAGATGAGAAATTTAGCCAGTGCAGTACTTCCGCTAACCCGGAGTCTTTGACACGCATCACGCAATCGTGATACCCAACTGCACATCAGTACGATGCTCATCCATATCGAAACAAGAAAGGGTGGAGACTGAAATCAGGATCCCTGGATTCTGCAGCGCAAGCTTTCACTTACACCAACAAGGTCAAACAATATACAAGAATAAATGATACAAGCGATAAATGCAAAACATAATCAACAGCAGTGGCGTACCAACTTGTTTTTGAGTGGGGGGGTAAACCAGACCCCCCCCCCCCCCCAGGGCCGGGGGGGCGGTGCCCTTAAGGTGACCACCCGTCCCGCGACTCGCGGGACTGTCCCGCATTGAGGGCTCGTGTCCCGCGTCCCGCAAGAAATACCAAAATCTTTAAAATGTCCCACATTTCACACTGTCGTAGCATTCGACTACGCAAATTCCGGCGCTTCTGAAGAGCGGGCCACGGGGTAGCGCGGAGGTCGCTGGTGAACGTGTGAATCTCGGTTTTATGCCATTTTCTATACAAGCACTGCGTGCAGTGACCGTCGTTCTTACAGGAGTATGACGGGCATGTGCGTTTGTGCCTCGACCCTTGATAGCAAAATATTGCAAGCGACAATTGCTAGCTGAAAGTTGAAAAATAAACTATTGTAGTTATTTGCAAATCATACTGTGTCGTGCGAAATGGTTGTCATGGAAAGCGTTTTTTTGTGAAGACGGCCACACAAGGAAAAAAACCTGCAACTCACAAGGGGACGTAAAAACCGCAACATAAGGTTCTAAATTTGTGTAAGAGCATGTTAGTGTAAACATCGACAGGAAACAATAAGTCGAAAAATAATTACTGTTTCTCATTTCCCTTTCATGTATTGGGGTCTGCTGCAGTCGATTTACATGTTTTCAACTTAGGCACTCATAATAAAATATTTACCATAACAATTATACAAACAATATATCACTGCAATTGAAAATTATTTTAGCTTAATTTCCGCCGCACAATCTTCAGGAGTATAATATGCTTTCGGACTGCACAGGAGATCGGGGTGTGCGTGATGGCGAATTTTTTTAATACCTATTCGTGAGTCGTGAAAATACCGTCCTCCTCTCCTTTCCTCTCCTCTTCTCCTCTCCTCTTCTCTCTCCCCTCCCCTCCCTCCCTCCCTCCCTCCCTCCCTCCCTCCCTCCCTCCCCCCCCCCCCCCCCCCCCCCCCCAGGTCAGAGTGTCCCACATTTCGCCTGCAAGAAGGTGGTCACCCTAGGTGCCCTTGGTATCCCATGGGCGCTACCGTACAGTGTTTGCCCTGCCCATTGGTGGCTGTTTCAGGGGGGCAAAACCCATGCCTTGCCCCCCCCACTCTGAGAACTGGGGGGGCAAGTGCCCCCTTGCCCCCCCGGTTGGCACGCCCATGATCAACACTTAACAATGCCAGAGAAACCTTCATGCTATGATAGTGAACGGACATTACAGGGCCAAATGTTCTAAATTTCTATGGTTCGAGGGAAAAAGAGCCGTATTTAAGCAAATCTTTACTTGTGTGAGAAGGTGAAACATTTAGGTAACGGTAGCTGCCCCAGGACAATGCGCTTACACGATTTAAATATGTATTTAATTATGCGAAACGTGATGAGCAAACTGTACAGAAATTTTGGGTGTCTGGTGCTATGTTGTGCAGATAGTGGGGTAAGGTTTAAAGCAGAAAGATTAGAAAAAGGATGGTATTTTGTACAAACGGCAAGGGGGAGAGGGGGGGAGGACTCTAATTAATTGGTAGATGATTAACTGAGCAGACGGCATAATAACAGTATCTTTATGTGTCTGTTGCCCATAATCACAATATTGCCGCAAGCACAGCAGAGTCCCAGCTGAGCCGGTAGCACACTTTCCTCTTACATGAAGGGCCAGGGTTGAATTCCTAGTAATGGTCACTATTTTTACACTTGCTCACGGAAGGCTCCGACTTGATCGAGACAGCATATAGCGCTTGCTAGTGCAAAACGATGCCAATGTTGAGGGTACCTAACAGGAAGTCTATGCGGCTGTATTTAGTCAGTCTGTATTTCCACTTTGTGTGAAGGCACAATTAAACTTTATTCTCAGTCTTTACAGCATTGTGCATGTATTTTCTTGCAGTTTCCATCTCTCTTCTTTGCTAAGTGGAAGGCAACGATTGATGTGACATTCTTGTACCATTTTTATGTTAGTTATCTATCCCCCTGTTCCCCAAAAGGAAGTCATAAAATTACAGCAGTAATTTTTCTTATACGATTGCATCCTCACTTCTAAGTAACTGTTTTGGGGAGGTTCGTGAATGTTGTGCTGCTTTGAACGCGACTCCCCAGGAACTCTGCTGCGCCAATAATGGTTTCCAATAACAAAAGAATGTGTTCAGGAATACCCATATCCAACACAAACAATCTCTAGAACTGTGATTGTCTCAATACCACATATTGCTCAAAGTATGATTTCCAACCAAGACTCAATGCAGTGTCACCACTGAAAATGTTTCTGTACAGTGAAACGGTTGAAGCTGGTGATATCACTTAAATGCTATTCCTCACGAACAAAAATTACTGGAGGTCCGATAAAACTCACCACCTGTCATCAACACGATTTCTGCCATCCGTTTCCTACAAGCCACACATTTCACCTGCCCCCACTTTAAGTTTACAACTGCAATGCTCAGTGAGAAACTGTCTGGAAATTATCACGACTTGCCCAAAATAATAGCCCGATGATTTCGTCTGGCTCGCATAAAGACTGCATTAAAGTTTCAAAACTGTTTTTGCCAGGTTCTTGGCAAAGAAGAAACATTGAACAGTTCTATGCCATGATGTCAGAAAGTTTTACGTAGGACACGCATCAAAACCGCAGCAATTGGCGATCGTCACAGCGTTTCACAAGACACCCCAATTGATCTGAAGTATGAATTTTCTCGGGATTGTGGGTAACTTTTTCCAACTCGTTTCCGAACCTAAAACACTTCCAGCACACAACCGTAGCAAAACAGTCAAACAGCAAATTAGACGTAGGTGTTACATCAAGGTCCTCCGTTGAAATCACTACTGGTTCATGCTAGCGAAAAAAAAATGTAAATACCATGTGGGGCTACCCTACTTTATTTAACATCTATTTCACTCCACTTATATGCCAAGACATGTTTCCACCCTTCATTATGGGACACGCGGGGAGAAGGAACCTGGGCCAAACCGTCGCATACATTCTCAAATAATTGTATGTTTAAAATGAATACCCACGGACGACAACCAACTAGTATTCGAGGTCCTGACAAAGCAAATCGGAAATAGTGAAAGCACCTACAAAAAGAATACTGCAGTGGGCCATTCTGGAAATATACAGCGCCTCCTCTAGTCTTTTTGATGCACTACAGCGACCTGATGTATGGTGCAGGAAGTTCAGCAATTTATGATTTCAGAACGCAAAGAAAGCAGGATGATAACAAAGCTGGGTATGTGTCCGCTTTGTGGTGTGTTTGCTCAATTTTCTTCATGTTCGGAGTTTGCAGTGGTAATAGAGGAGGAACCGAGCCGTTTCCAGGAAGTGCAAGTACAAGCTGGCCTGAGCGTATGTCGCGATGGTTCCACAATTTTCTGCGCCACGCGGTGCAAGGCAGGATTGATGAGAAGCCTCGATGAACTTTCCGGAAAGGTCTACGGGCTGCTGTTGTCCGTCATTTTTGACCTGTTGTCCGTCATTTTGTTTTTTCTCGTGTCAGGGTTTACATTACTATGTGTCCTAACCAGCTCGCCACCATAATTTCTCTCCTTAAAATTCTTCTGCCGGAAGCAGGTTTCAATTCCAAGTGAATAAACGACGATCAATATTGACATCATGTATCGTTCTGTTAAGAACGACAAATAAAGCAATCCGTACACCTGGATGGGATCAGATCAACTGACCTCGTCGTCGTCTTTACTCGTTTTTTCCTCGTGCATCGTCTATATTGATACAAGGCTGAAAAGATGTAATTATCCGAGCTTCAATGAGCAGCCTCGAACCCGCCAACTGGATCCCCAGTTGGTACGTTATGATTCCAGGTGGTTGAAATTAATCCTCAGTTCACCGCTGCCCTTTGTTCACTTGGCACATAACACTCTGCAAATCCGACAATTTTTTCTAGCTTTAATTTGTTACCATTCTTGTTTTTGGTGACATACTAAAAGCAAAAAGAAAAGGTAGCAGTTGAATTCTAGTCATCCAGGGCAATCAATCTAGAGTCGGACTCTAGACTTCCCTGTGTTCAGTCAATCATGCGCTGGAGACTAATACAACGCATTGTAACGATCGTAAAAAAAAAAAGAAAGAAAGGCGCCGGTTTACGAATGCGACGAGCAACGTCCGCTTGCAGTGGAAACTGTCGGCTGGATTTCCCGGAACACATCACTATCGCAGGTGACTTTTTTTTTTTTTTTTCTCTCTCTTTTTTAATTGTTTCCCCACTTCGCGACGAAGTTTATTAAGGTGATAGCGGCGACGACGCCAAATATCGTGCGTGAAACATTCGCGGCTACCAAGACTTCCCAATGAAAAGCCCTCCGCGTGTGAAATCGAAAAAATAAACAGTACGCGGAAGACGCATGCTGCAGGACTATTCTAGGATCGCCAAACGTCCCAAACGTGGACCGAACCTGAAAGAGGTACGGCTGTGACCTATTGCGACCTACATGTACGAGAATGTAGCTAAGTGTGCAGGCGAGCTGGTGCAAGTTCATCAGTACACTGCCAAGACAGAAAGCAAAAGCAATTGTATAACAAAACATAAGTACAACAGAAAAAAAAAAAAGTTAAACCGCAACCGTAAAACCGCAACTGAACGGAGTCGTTTTTCATGATATCAAGTTTGTTTACGGTCGAATCGCGGTACGATCACAAATGTCGCGAGCATAGCTACTGGACAGCACGCAAACAGATCGCTACGTTTGGTCAGTTTTTAAAAGGTTACTTCGGTTCTTAGATTTACGCAAGGAACGGGTAGTTTCCTTTACCTCGGAGACACGGTTGGAGGGGCCGTAAGCACCTTTCTTCGAAAACGACATCCCTCCCGGCTGGGATACGTCGCCGAAGCGTGCGACTGGTCGCAGTCACTCGTGCGTCCGGGTTGTCAGGCTCGGCGTGCACGGAGCCACCGCCACCGATGTTGGACGCAGTTAATATCCATTCAGCAAACGTACAGGTGTTCCGGTAGGTCGGCTCACGCGCTACCCTTGAACAACAGGATTTTCGCCACCGCCGATTGCCGTGGAAAGCCTTCGCTCAACAGCTTGACAGGTCTTGGCCTGGCTTGCGCTTGGCTGTTTGGTTGGCTTGGTCCTTCGGTTTTTAGTCGGAAGTTTCGATTCGTCTGCTACCTGCGTGGGCTCGCTCAGACTCGCTCCGGCTCGCTCCCTTTTAAAACTTTTGAAGCTTTAATCTCGCTCCAAAGGTGTTGGAACTATTCCGGAGTTGGAGGAGGGGGGGTGACGCAACGGCGACTTGATCAACTCAGTTGGCAAACTCCCACGGAGAGCGTGATCCCTTCTAATATACGCGCTGACACACGTCAGTTTCGGCGTATAACCCCTAGATTCGGAAGTGCTGTTTCAAGCGACATCCTTCTTGCCCGGTGCGGCCGTGTTTTGAACCGCTGTTGCATGAAGCGCCGCAGCGAAAAAGAAGGTTGGCGCTTCGAACAGCGCTAGCCTGTTGACGGGTACGAGAAGGTCGTGCAGGGGCGGATCCAAGGGGGGCGAGACGGAGGCGGCCGCCCCCCCCCCCCCCCCCCCCCCTAAACAAAGTCGACCCCCCCCCTCCCCCCTTTTCGGAGGGCAATTTGACATGAGTGGACACACCGGTGACATGAAAGAATGGAAGAATAGTATCCTTCCAAATTTTCCCGCCCCCCCCCCCCCCCCCCAAACAAAAAAAAAAAAAAAAAAAAACGGAGTTCTGGATCCGCTCCTGTCTCCGTGGGAGTTTGCCAACTGATTTGATCAAGTAACGTTGGGGTGACGAGCCAACACCTCCTAGAAGACAAGGCCGTAGCGCTCTTCTCGTGATGTCGCAAAGGAAGGCCATCGGGGGCGCGCGTCGAAGCGAAGGCAACGCGCGTAGATCGACCGTCGTAACGCGTTTTTAGTCACATACGCGTGTCATATTAGCAAAAATGAAAGCTGCACATAGCAACCGGTATAGAAAACATTTTATTACACGAGCAAAATATTACACCGCTAAATAATCGGTACGAAATGGCACGAGGTATGCGTATAAAACGTCCATGGAAAAATGTGATTGTTTTAAGTCGAAAACATTGAGTCATGCAATTATTGCTGTAGGAATGCATATTTTATACAGAAATACTCCGACAAAATGCGAGACACGCAGTGATTTGGAAACAGCAAAACTGAACAGTTAAAAATCAGGTAGGCGTAGTCAACGCGGACACGGCAAGTGTTTCTCACGATCATGTAAGCGACGTTATCGCGTGCAGTCACTGAATTCTTGCATCATACCCCGGCCACATGACAAAATTAATGTAATTTCGATCAAATTACATTATGGGGTCGACAAATCCGCTTGCGGCGCTCGTATACTCACTCAAGACCGCGAGCTGATTAAATCCTATATGACTGATGAAAATATATTAACTTTTCCCGTGTGGCAGGGGTACTAAACATACTACTTTACTGATTTACCTCTCCCTATGAGCTCAAGCTGTCTTAGAACAAAACATAACTTATTTTGTATATAACAATACTATTACCTTAATAGTTAAGATTCTAGTATAAACGCGGTAAAGGCAATACAATAACCTTAGTATAAATAAACACAGAACCACAAACAACGCACTTTCAATAATCACACAAACTTGTTTTTCACCTTCCAGTGAAAACCAGATTACCGCGCATATTTACAAATGTCGACGCAACTGCATGCGAATAACGACAAAGAACAAAATTGCAATCTATCATGCGATTAAAAAAAAACGATTGCAGCATTTTACTTGCGTCCTACATGACCAAGAAAGCCCGTAAATAAGTTGTTCCTCACCTGTCGATCGTATCCATACGTCCCACAATATCCGTGACGAACACATTTGAACACGAACTCCAAGAAGCCTCTCTCTGTCGAGAGAGAGGTCTATCGATTAATCGACCAGAGTCTTCGTTGGCTAGTTGTCACACGTCACTCAAACCGTAGCAGGACTTGTTTCACGAATTCACGTAAATGCCGTAGTATCAAGCGAACACAAAAAAAAATTACACCATCTCCCCGAGGGGAACCATGGGGTGATGCGGAGCATCGTTCCATCACACTTCATCGGAAGAACGAAGTGAAGTGGAGTCAACAGCGGTGAACTGAACGCGCGCAGAAATTGGTTTGCTCTTTATGTTTATACAGCCTTGATGGAGATGCGCCTCAACGGGTAATCGGTCTCTTAGCTGTAGATGAGAAATTTAGCCAGTGCAGTACAACCGCTAACCTGGGATTTTTAACGTGCATCACGCAGTAGTGATCACACGAAACGCGTGCCGGTACGAAACTCATCCAGATCGAAACGGGCGGGGGCGGCGGGGACTCGAACCCAGGAGGTTCCCAGCGCAAGCTTTCGCTCCACGCTCCAAGCCAACGTTACTAAAACACTCAGTTGGGAAACTCGCCGTCGAAACCCTGGGCCGCTAACGTCCACCGAGACCGAGCTAAATGCGACAACAGCGCCACTCTTTATCATTTGTCTGTACTGTGGTCACCTTGAGCTTTTTGAAAGCCTATTTTTTGCGTAAAAACAAACGAAAAAGACTCTTTTTGTATGAAATTTATTGGAGTTTAGTACCAAAAGAGGGGCGCGTTATGTTTTTAAAATCTTTAGTTTGCAGGGTTTTGCGGCACAATAAATATTGTTTTTATACAACCATGCCTCAGCAGGCCTTTCAGGTAGCACGTCCCGCCCTAGGTGCATTTTAACTTCGGTAACTCAACGCGGCGCGTCCGCCGGGGAGACGAAGTTGGCACTCCTGGATCTTTGTAGCGTACATGTTCCTGTGATTTACGTCTTGCAGTTTACAGTGTCAATAAACTTTTCTTTAAACCCTGTAACCTCTTCCGCTGTATCTGTTCTTAAAGCCAAAATAGAAGTCACGTGCAGTTTGTCGAGTGGCCGCTGCGGGAGAAATGGTGGCGTTGTGTTCGTCATTAGCTCGGTGCTCGGAGACAGTTTGGGGCCACATGTTCAAAGCTGTCTCTATGGGAGTTTCCCAACTGAGTGTTTTCCATTTCGTCGTTTACCCTGAGACTGGGTTTTTTTTTTTTGAAGAGCAGAAGTAACAGAAAAAACAGACAGGTCTCAAAAGTAACGTTGGCGCAGCTGTTCAAGAGAGAGAGAACGCACGCGCAGCTGTTGGAGAGAGAGAGAGAAGGCACGCGCAGCGAGGAGAGTTGCGCATGCGTAGTGTGAGTGCGGACTACGACGCCGCGGGACATAGCCCGAGCAAGAGATGCTCCGCATCTAAAAAAACTACCGAGACTACGGTGATGACAGAAATACGACGGGAAACAAGTCTCAAAAGTACCGCACACGCGAGCAGCGGCGACGAAATTCTTAACGTTGTCGACCCATCTCTTGCTGGTGTGCGCTCCCTGCGACAATGACTGGATTTCTCTTCGGTTTCCTTCCCTTCTGAGATGTCTCAGCGTTCCTTTTCAGACAGTCAGCAGCTCACACACAACGTAAATTTACCAGAATCAGAGCCATGTGGCATCGGCAGCATCGGCAGCATCGCAGCCGGTCCGCTCGAAAAGTGTGGGGTGCTGCGGAACTGCACGTAGTCCCGCGGTTACGGGGATACTCATAAATATAAATTTGGTGCTCTCAACCTTGGTAGCGCGTTGTATATTACGTTTATATTATATATATAATAAATTGTACAAGACTGCGACTTTAAAACGTATATTAATGTCGGATAAACGCGCATGAACGAACACCTCCGCGCCGCTTTTCAAGGAACATTTTTTTTTCACGTCGATAGCATATTCTCACGTAGTTGCGCCATGGACTTCCTTCCTCCGCCATTGTGACGTAACCTCTCAGAGCGCTATGGCCTTGTCTTCTAGGAGGTGTTGGTCGAGCGATATTGTTCGCCCCCCTCCCCCGTATTGCTTACATTAATAATGGGGGGAGGGGAGGGGAAGGGGGGGCGCTACGGCTACCACTCGTCCTCTCTGCCCTTTCCTGTTCTGACGCCCACTGATCAGTGCTGATGCTACTGTCCTTCTCCCTCGCACTCGCTCACCTTCACTCACCCTCTCGTGGGCTCCTTTCTAAAAAAGAAGTCTGGTCGTAAACTGCGCAGACACCAGAAGCTACTCTTGCAAATAAAAAAAAAACAGCTTTGGAAGAAGAAAAAAAAAGGCAAATACATAAATATGTTTTCACGAATAACGACACTGGTTCATGCTGAAGATGAGTAATTTGGCCACTTTCATCAATCAACTAATTCATTGAGCTTTTTTTTGATAACTTTTTTATGATAGCTCTAAGGTTTTAATACCCTAGCCATCGATCTGGATTCTGGATGAGCATCGTACCGGCGTACTGTCGCGTATCACTACTGCGTGATGCACGTCACAGACCCCAGGTTAGCAGTTCTACTGCACTGGCTAAATTTCTCATCTACAGTAGGTAACAATGTATAACCGTGTAACAATGTCTTGTTACATTGTTATACAGCATATCGCCAAGTTATCACCAAAGGTCATCCTGGTGATATCCCACACCGCCTGGTGATAGTAGTTACAGAATTGCAGAGGAGAAGCAATTGTCTTAGAAAGGCGATGGGGGGGGGGGGGGGGGGGGGGGGGAGGGGGGAATCAGGGGTTAACCGAGGATTGCCGATCTAAGGTAAAGGGAAAGACTGGAAGGGGGGGGGGGGGGGGTTTATAAACTATAGATCTCTATTACACGACAGAGGTGAACGACATTTGAGCAATTGGCCAATCAGCCCCCGTCACTCCTGGGGCAGCGTGGTAGATTTGCTTCGCCGGTGACATAATACAAATTTGGCAGTTGAATTAAATTCCTTTTGG